TGCTCCATATTCACAACTACTGTTCTTCATCACTTGTAGTCAGAACTCGTCCTCCTCAGCTGATTCCATTAGAAACAGTAGAACACAAATTTACTGTTTCCTGCGTTTAATTTAAAAACCCGCCATTAACTTCCTTCACTTCAGCTCGTCCACATTAGTCCACTGACAGCTTCACACACACCTGCTCAAAGACCATCAGCTTCACCTGTCCTACGGAAGCCCATTGCTGCCAATCAGACAAAAGGAAAAAAACAACATTATTATTTATAAGGCTGCTGCCCCCGCGACCCGGCCCCGGACAAAGCGGATGAAGATGGATGGATGGATGTATTTATAAATAATTAAATTGATGGTACATCAGAATAATTTGAATGTAGACTTATTGTCAGATTTTGTATTTATATGTTTAAACTTTTTCTTCTTTTTAACTTCATTTTGTGTTTTATAATGTGCGGTCAGTAATGCAGCGCTCTGGAGGGCCTCCTCCAGCGCTCCTCGTGTCACGGTCTGCCTCCTGGAGCCTCCTCAGCTCTTGAGACTGTGCTGGGAGACGCAGCAAACCTTCTTGTAACGACACAGATGGATGAGCCATCCTGGAGGACCTGGACTACCTGTGGAGCCTGAATGGACTGCAGATCCTGTTGTGAACATGGATGGCGATCACTTACGCTCACAACATGTGACTGAGTGATCATATCATAGTTATTATAAATGTCTTTGCCCTGGCCTTTGACACCACGTGAGATGTTGGTTTTTAGTTTTGAGTTGTTTTTAGTTGATTCTATGCTGTTTTATCTTGTTTTTGTTTTAATTTTTATGTGTTTTATTTATTTATTTTTGCCGTTTTCTGTTATTCTATTGTTTTTAACTTATTTTCTGTATAGCACTTTGGTCCTGTGCTGGGTATTTTACAGTGTTTTATAAATAAAATTGGATTGGAGGAAGGAGAACATCTGCTTTGAGCCACAAAATGCGCCGTGTTCAGCTGCTGTGGTTCAGCATGTCAGCGTCCTTCTGATGATGCAGACAGACACAGACACAGGCCTGACAGACACAGGGACATCCAGGCCTCAAACTCGCTGTCTGGTGGTGACGTATACGTCACCTTCACCTGGACCAAGCAGTCCTTAGCGAGCTCACAGATCTGGAAACAATAACTGGTTTAAGTCATCGTTGAAGGAACGTCTGACCCTTCTCTAACTATATTTCAGAGAAACACAAACCTGACTTTTGGGAAGAAAATGTGAATAGCTGTTGATTTGTGTCAGCTGGAATAATTAATTCCTTTGTTCTGTGATTGCCAAGAGAAGTGGGAGAAGTCTTGGCAATCAGAGAAATGACATATTCTTATTGGCTGTCAGGGGCGGGCTCGTCACTGATGGTGACTTAGACCTCAGAGAGCTCAATCTTAACAATATTTCCACAGGTGATGAAACATTCCAGCAATCAGTGTTTTCACATCATGCAAACATCAAACTTTGCATGAGTTTGATCTTGCAGCAACGGATCAAACTCATGCAAAGTTTGATCTTTGCATGAGTTCAGGTGTTTGCTGTCCTAGCTCGCATCTTCCATTGTGTTTGCACAGTTGCTGTTATGTTACTGCTGCAGCTGTGGTGGAAGTTTAGGGCTTGTTTTGTGCTGCCATGATCAAAGTATCTTAAAGCTGGTCCTTCCTAGCGCTTGGTAGACGCTTGGTTTCTTCTTGTCTGCCTCTTCCTCAGCCTGTCATGCAGCAGCTTCATGGTCCACGCTTGTTCCTCTTCCTGTTCCTCATCACGCCTGTCTTCAGCTGCCTGAGGCTTTCTTGGAGCAGCGTGTCTCGGGAGGCTATCATCCTGATGTACTAAGCTCCGTGTTTCACACACATGTTGGTTTTATTTGGTCTGCAGCACCTGGAGACGTGTCTCACAGTCGAGGAGTTGCTGCATAAAAACTGAGACTAAATAAAAACTAAAAGCAGACAAAAGCAGCTTTTCTGAGCAGAAAGAAGGAAAGTCACAGAGAGTCGATGAAAGGTGAAGTCGTGCGGTGCTCAGACCTTTAGAGTGTTTGTTTACAGGCGGAGACCTTTCTGTGACCTTTCCCTCTCCGATGGACACACAGATCGTTTCAAATCCACCATCTTGTTTACTTTTACATTATTTAGCTCGATCATTTGCGGGCCCCACAGAGTCGGGCCAAAACCTTTAACACAAACTTTAAAAGGTCAAAGTACATTTCAGCATTCAGAATGTGTCAGGTCCGATTTAGTGGAGGAGAAATGACCAAAGTGGCCCGTGTATCAGCAAAGTACGAAGACACAAAAAACTCCTAAAAAGCTGGAATTCTGCAGAAAATGTCGTTTTACAAAATGCACTGACGAGCACATCTCATGACTTCATTATTTCTTCACAATACATGTCCTCCCCGTGAAGAAAACAGAACAAATCTACGAGAAAAGAGCGAAAAATTACACACTGTGTTCAAATCTCTGTCCAGCATGCAGGCCATGAGTCCGGCTGGAGCCACGTCTCAGAGGTCAAAAAATCCAGCTGTGGACCATTTAAACATCTACACTCATACCTGCTGCTAGCAGCATCATGCACATCATGCTCCCAAACACAAGAAGCAAAAGCAGCTTTTGTCACACACGAGAGTCACGAGTTGGCTTTGAGTTTTTCTTTCCATAAATAAAAACATTTGCACCAAGAAATGAAGCAGAACAAGAAGCAGCAGGTCCAGAAAGTTCCTCTCCAGAGTTTTCCACGAGCAGCTTGCATGAGGATGCAGAGGGAAGCTGGGGAGGTGCTGCCCCCTCTGGTCCTCACCGGTCCTGCAGTAACTGTTACACTGCCCGGTGACGAGAACATGAGCAGGACCACAGACGGACGGCGGCTCAGTGCATTTACTCAAGTACTCAAGTACTGCACTTGTACTTTATTGAAGTATTTTTCATTTGGATATTTTGGATACATTACATGTTTTATGTTTTGTATATGATGCATATGTGTCATCATCCGCAGCTGCAACATTAAAGTGATTTACACATTAATGAATTAACATGACCCAGTGGACCACAGCATGCAGATTTTAATACCAAGACTTTTGCACTGTTACTGTCTGAAGTAAAGGACGCGAGAAGACTTTTCTACCTTTCATGCAGAGGCACAGGCCTGCACACGAGCATCAAATCATACACAATATCTTTGATCAAATATTCTAATATTAAACAGCAAACATCTCATAAAAATCTAAAAATAAGTCCAGAAGTTTGTTTTGAATTTTCCCGTCATCTCATAACTCGCTCAGACTTATTTAGAGCAGAGGCATCAACCTCACTTTGCTTCATGAGCTGCGTCTTCAGTGGCCCGGAGCAGCGAGCCCATCGTACCAGCTTCACTTACACAATCATTTCCATGTGCAGGTGCCCACAACACAAACACAACATTCATGTTGGTGAGTCGCAGTAAGAGCCACAGGCCTGAGTTTGCTCCACTGATATCAGGATGGCAGACAAACATTGAACTGGTACTGATTTTGTACCTGAACATGTTTTACTGAGCAGCACAGCTGCTGACATCTGCAGGGGGAGGTCGCCCCCCTGTGTCTGCATGAGCACACTGCAGCTTAAACAGCCGAGGCTCTAACAGCAGCAGTAATGCTGACGTGTTTGTTGTTTCTGCAATTATCTTCAAATGTCGTACTTTCCTAACTTTCTATTGACGACAGTACAGGACAGAAACAGGTTTATGTCCAGTGTTGATGATGTCACAGCGTCTCACACTGAGGCTGTTTGTCATTAATAGTCTCAGTAAGACTTTCACTGCTGCAGCAGAAAGAAGATGCAGAGGTCTTTTAATGACACGAATCAGTGATGCACATTTAAAACAGACTTTAAGTACTTTATCATTTTACTTTGGTAGGTTGAAGCTCCTTTGCCTTAAACTGCTGCCGAGCATCAGGCGTCGAGCTCGCGGCTGCTGCGGCGTCTCTGAAGCCCAGGATGTTTAGACAGCGACCTTCAGCTCGTCTGTGTTTTTGGATCACATCATTCTGAACAACACTGCAGAGACTCTGTGGGGTTAAAACTGTGCTCTTCCAAACATTTGGTGCAAGTTTTAGCAGCAGGCCCTGGAGAACGAAACGGTGGCTTTGGATGTGATGAAGCACAGCGGACCAACCACACGAGCAGACGACACCACAAATCATCAGATTTTCACAAACAAGAAAAAGTTTACTTTCACCTGAGAAGAGGACTTCGGACCTTTGAGCAACCGTCCGTCCTCTGACCTCGCAAGTGAAAATGAAATATTCTAACACTGAGTTACTGGAGCTCTGCTTCTCATGAGCAGTAAAGAGGCTTAAATTATTTACTTATGATTAACATAGATGTCTCATTTTTAGGTGCACTATTAAGAACAGTGTTAGCCCTCAGCCTCCTGGCAGCTGCAGTTGTGCTATTAATTTGAAAATCCTACGTCGTTTCGTTCTCGAGTTATCGCATTCACAAACTCGGCGTCCACGCCACCCAGCGAGGCGATGACATGCCCCGTGAGCTTTTTACGGCTGAGGCGCAAAAATGACACGATTTAGAATATTTGTATTCATTGCAGACTTTGTGGAGCTTTAATGTGAAGGCGAACAGTCTGGAAACTTCACATTAAAGGTCGACCACTTTGTTGAAAACAAAACAAACTTGGAGTTAAAAGAGGGGCAGAAGTTTTAATGTTTAAACATTCAGCTCTTTACAAACATTTTTGCAGGAAAACGATGAATGACGGGAGACTCGGCTTCAGCTTTAATGACACAAACAGCTGTTTCACACATCAGCAGCCATAAATTAACACCCCAAAAATACTTAAAGGGAACATTTGATTCTCGTGGCCTCAAAACAAGCCGACGCTAAACTAAATACACAGAAGACGCATTTTCAAATGACACAAATGAAACAAAGATTAAAAAACATAACTGGAATCACTCGGAGCTGCTCGTGTCCTCACACAGAAACAAAAGTACAACATGCTGCGACGTCCAGTTCAGAGAGAAACACAATTATTGCAGTTTCAGATGATCAGAAACTAAAAACAGTCACTGCAGCAACAAACACGCAGCTCAGACAGCCAACATGCTGACCTCCTGTCACATTAAACCGCTGCTCTAAGCAGATGATCATCAGAACAGAAAACAGACTCAATTATTTTTATTTCACACGCTGTGAGAACATGGCGTGCACTCTGATCGCAGGTGCACGCTGGAATATTCACTTCTACTCTCGTTTCTACTGAAGCGAAAAGAGCGTAAAGGTTGGAAACCCGTCTCACCCGGGCTCCTTCACTCCTCTGTACAACCGAGAAAGTTTAAATGAAAATGGAGGAAAACTGGAACGTTCTTCCACTTCCTGCTTCACTACAAGGTGAAACGGCTTTAAAAAGGTAAAAGAAAAGGACGGAAACAACAACAGGACATAACTGTAGCAGAGTTTACGACGATGTGCTCAATACTCCTGGATGGCTTCTTTGTAGCCTGACAGGCAAGACTCGGGGCAAACTCCAACCTTGGCATTAAAAACAATAAGACAACACACGCCGCTCACGCTGCGGTCGGGTCAGCTGTCTGCACGCTAAAAACACTCCAGAGGCGCTTCCAGACGTGTCGCTTCCTCCCACTGTAATCACACGATGAGATGAAAGCACAGGTGCCGGGTGACAAGCAGCCAATCAGAGAGCAGCCACAGAGGGGGCGACTGTAAGAGGACAGAGAGCACTTAGACGACCTCACTCCAGGATTACACGACACAAAGCTCGCAAGCTCGGCTTCTGCGACGGCAGCAGCAACATTCACCTCCTTCTCTCCACCGCGCTCCTCCGTCTCTGTCCGTCCCCCGCTCAGGTGCGCCTCCTCTTGGCTCCTCCCGGACTCGCCGGGTTGGAAGACGACAGGAGCTTCTCGGCCGCTCGACTCCTCTTCCTCTTCTCTGCCTCCTTCCCTCCACTACCGCTTCCGCCGCCTCCTCCCGTCGCCGCTGACGACGATCCTCCGTCACTTCCTCCCTTCTCCTTGTCTCGCTCTCTCTCCTTATCCCGAATGCTGCTTGTTCGCTCCGACATCTTCACAGAGGAGTTACTCCCTGAAGCAGAGAGACGGAGGATCATATTAAAACCTGGTGTGGTCTAAACTCTCCAGACTGCACAAACTTCACCTCGTCGCTTATGTTCTTCTAAGACTGCTGGGACTTTAATCTCTCCTCATCTTTTCTGACCGATTTGATTAGATTTACACTTGGCTGGTGTCGGTGTCACTACTGGTAGCACGAGGCGACACCTGGAGCAGAACGTTTGCTGTGGATCCTCCAGGCCCGTATCTGCACCTTTATCCAAGGAGGAAAAGGATGAGTGCAGCCAAAGCTACAACATGACCTCCAGCAGGACACTGGTGAGAATGTCTCTGATGTCTCTGACCAAACAATCAGAAACAGACATCACGAGGGTCGCCCGACGGCCAGACGTCCTCTAGTGGGCGCTGTGCTCTGACCAAAGTCTGACTTTACAAACTTCTGCAAGTGACACTATCATCTGCTGAGCGAGCAGAAGCAGCTGGAGGGTGTAAGGTGTGATGGAACGACTGGACTACAGAGCGGATCGACCAACTCTAGCAGCTCCCAATGAAACCTCCAAGCCTTACACATGGCTGACGCTCTGAGTCGGTTTAACCTTTTCAGACTTCACATGCTATCAAAATGTATCAAAATGCTTCTTTAAGCAGACAAACTGCTCTCCGTGAGGAGAGGAGAGGTCAGAAATACATGTTTGATTATATGAAGCTGTGTATTATTTGTTTAAACCCAGTGGATCACATGCACATGTGTCTGAAAGCAAGCAGCTAACTCTGAATTTAAGTGTAAAAGAACCGCTGAGGCGCCAGGACGCCCCAGCTGACTGCACCTTAAATGCGAGACACAGTCTGGTACCTTCTTCATGTGTAGCTGGAGGTTCTCTCTCCATCCTGAACTCCTCTTTGGACTCCTCCTCTGAGCCCAGCTTCCCTACAAACGCACAAATTAGCGTCCGTTTAGACAAAGAAACGATGTTAACTTTTTTTGTACTGGTGTAAACAATTTAAAAAAGCTGCATTTCTGACGGCAGTTCCCTCACCTTCCTTCACCTCCTGGATGATGTCATCGGGCAGGGAGAAGCTCTTCTCGTTGTTTGGGAACGGCAGGATCTCCGACTCGTGCTGCGTCACAGAGAAACGACAGTCTCAGTGGTGATGACCGCGTTCAGCGCGGCATGTAACAAACACTCAGCATGTGTGTGTGCGTCCTCACCAGCGCCTGCATGTCGTACATCGTTCCCAGGTGGTCCCAGATGACGGAGGAGGAGACCTGCCGTCCAATGTTCTGACTGAACTTGTCTCTGATGCAGATCATGTGGAAGTGACGGTTCACGCCTGCAGACAGAGACACACAGCATGCACTGCATCATGGTCACTGTTTTTTCCCAGGAAACACATTAACGCATCAGCGCGTCGGCTCTTTTGCCTTCCTGCAGTCTGACGGAGCCACCTACAGGCCAGCTAAGCCAGATCAGTACATTTATTGGACCATAACTTTTCATATTAGCTGTATTTTATAGAGGAACCCAAATCCTTTATAATCCTCCTCCCTCAGTTAGAGGGACTTAGCTTCTCTACTTTATACACCTTTCTTCTTTTTTGTAGAGTTTTCTTTCTTGAAAATACTGAGTCACTCTGTTTACACATAAATCCAAAATTGGATTTTTAAATGACTTCTTTGAACTTTTTTACTCTTACAAAACTGCAGGAGCAAAAATAAAAATAAAAAAAATTGGAAAAATATGAAGTGAAACTGTAACTGTACTGGAACTTAAACAGCTCTTTTCCACATTTACTGAGCACTCAAAGCATGTTCAACTGCACACTACATTCAACCATTCACACAGCGAGGAACCAGGCTGGACGCACAAGAAAAGTGGTGTAGTTTTCCAAACACCTGGACTTTATTTTACCCGGAAATAGAATAGAATTCAACTTTATCGTCATTGCACATGTCACAAGTACAAGGCAACTAAATGCAGTTTGCATCCATCCAGAATAAGGCTGCCACGATTAGTCGACTATCAAAATCGTCGACGACTGATTTAATAGTCGACGCGTCGTTTGAAGCTTTGTAAGATCACAAAAGACGCAGGAATAAGTAGCAGGATTTAAGAGTGTAATAACGGACTGAAACAGAAGATGGCAGCACTGCATGTACAAGGATGCCAGCTGCCGTTAAACCCCGAAGAAGAAGAAGCTGTGTCCCAGAATTCATAGCGCGCCCAGCTCAGTTTCCAACAATGGCGGCAGCTAGTTAGTTTTAATATTACTCTTATTATTCTTTCTGGGTCACAAAATAAACGTTTAACATATTTTCAGGCGAGAATGTAGCTGTGTAAACCTCAAATATCTGCTCAGTTTATCAGGACACCACATATTTTCAAAAGCGCTCCGACGTTTTCGGAGACGTCTGTTACCCACTAGCTCGATAGCTAGCCGGGGGCTAGGTCACTAGCGCCGTGAGAACACCGGACTCCCCGCAAATCGTTTTCAAACCCACCGCCGTCTTTCGCTACTCAGGTTAAACATGATATATGAGTCACTTAGATAACTTAAAATGTTATTGTTTGGCTTTTTTAGTATTTTATTTGTTCCTGAGTAAATCGGTTTGGCTGAGATTAAAGTTATAGTTTTACACAGCTGAATAAACGTCAAGCAGACAGCTGATTATCAGAAGTGTGAGATGCTCGAGAATTACTCCGGTGTCCTGTTATATTTTAGATAGCAAGGAGTTTATTAAACTCACCGAAACAATCTGCAAATTTCATTAAAATTTAATAAACTATCATCTTGTCTTTATTTTTAGTTAGCACATACCTTAAACACTTAAAGCTGTAAGCTAATGATAGTTATATAAGAGCAGATGCTGCTGGTGCAATAAGCTGTACGTTTTAGTCCAATGGATGATGATCTGATTAGTCGACTAATTGCAAAAATAATCGGTGACTAGTCGACTATCAAAATAATCGTTTGTGGCAGCCCTAATCCAGAAGGCAATATTATAGCTCTATTACAAAAATGGGTTACAATGTACACGGTATGAAGGTATTTTATGCATAAATAAATAAATTCAAAATGCATAAATGCAAAAACAATATTAGAAAAGTTAAAAGCAACAGTGGTGGGCCCTTAAAAGAAGTCAAGTAAATTGAGTTGGACTGTAACAGCAGTAAGACTCCAAAGTAACATAAGGATCAAGACCTGTTCCAATAAAGAGGAACTCAAATACTGATGAGATCAACACTAACACACGACGTCATTAAAGGAAACAAAGGCAGCAGTTGGTTAAATCTGATTGTGGTGTTGATGAGCATTGTTAGGTTTGGTCAAAGGTATCGGTGTAATATGAGTTAGGTTAGGCTTCCTTAATACTGGCCATGGGTTGGATGCAGTGAAGTAAACAAACAAAGAGCAGTAAACCTCAGAGTCCGCACAGCTCAGCTGATTTCACGATTTTTATTCAACTTATCTCGAAGTCAGCGTGTAATTCCCTCTTTGGGTTCTCTGTCCTGCCAAACACAATTAACAATCGTTTTCCTCCTTAGAATCAGTTTCACTCTTGACCTGCTAACCTAAGCGTCTCACCTGCAAGGCGAAATCTCTGGTTTTTAACTTTTTAAATAAGCATCCTCCATTAAACACCTGTTATTGCAATAAACTGAAATTAACGGTTTCCTAGTGTTTACATATTGATTCAGAGGCTCCTGAAAGCAGTCCAAGTTAAACTGGTTTAACTAGAGGAGATGCTCCAGCTAGCCGCATGCTAACGTTAGCTCTGGTCTTACCGACAGGTTTATGTCCGATCATCGCGTGGAACAGGCACACCTCCACCTCGTGGCTCCACACCACCGAGTCTTCTCCGGGAGCCAACGCCGAATCCGGCGGCTTCTCGTCGGTCTGGTTCAGCGTCACATCAGCTTCTCCCATTATTAAGGCAAAACCTAAAACTGGCCAGAAGCAAACGACCGTGCACCGTTAGCATCAGCAACCGGAAACGTAGTAAGACTTCCGGGTATCGGATTTCAAGATAAAACGACAAAAAATAGCCAGAGTGGAAAAAAAAATTAAAACCGAATTTTGAGGTAAATTCATTTATTTGCTTTTAACAAATTCCAATATTAATCCTACACTTACAGTTTCAGTGACCGTCAAAGTTAAAAGATAAACGGTCCGTTAAAACGCCACATAAAGATGGCTCTAGAATTTTCTCTTACAAGTGGCATGTGTTTGGCACAGAGACACCTCAGAAAAGTGACGTTTGTTCCCCAAATCTAGTAAATAATTCAATAAAACTAAGTAAAAGTGTCTAGGGACCTAAAAGACATTAAAACTGCTTTCGTTTGAGGAAGTCGCAAAGAAAGCGACTGGACTTAAGTTTCTTTCCAAGCCAGACACTTTACTGTTTTAATTTTACTAGAGCATCAGAGATAGGATTATTTGTATTTTTTGGCATCAACATTCAAATTTATGTTAAACAATTTTATTTTCAATGATATTTCCATATTTTTAAAGCCTCAAAAGACAAATTTAAAACCAATTTATCAGTGAGTTTACCATTGTCAGACATCAGATTTAAATCAAATTACAAGCCTCAAATATATTATCTCCCCAAATTAGGAGTTCCTCAGAGATCTATTGTAGCTTCTCCGTGGTTCTCAAAACAAGACAATGTAGTTTAGTATATGTATAAATGCCCAAACAAATGAACTTTGTCGTGATAATAAAAAAAAATGCACTTTTCAGGTGCTATTTTGCCAAGTAATTAAATTGTTAAGCACCAAATCTCTAAAGGTGAACATACAAGCAGTGGATGAGGAGTCATAGAAGCAGCCAGACTCAAAGGTTATGCTTCTCTATGCGGTGATCAAAACACCAAAAGTTTTATTGCAAATAAAACGGATACAGTTGGCGCCGTAAAACGGCCGCCACCACAAATACAACCAGAGAGGAAGAAAAAAACCAATTTCAGGTACATTATATTTAAAATTAAGTGGCTACTGAACTTCACTGAGCTGAATAAGAGCATTTTGTTTTTACATTGATACAAAACTGTGCATCTCTTAATAAAGCATCCATAACAATCAATAACATTGGGAGTATTAACGTGAGGCTAATTATGTCCAGTTAGGCAGGGTTTTTCCAAGCATCCGAAAACTTTGTAATTATCTGCAACTGCATATGATTTTATTTAAAAACAAGTTAGGACCGTTTTCCGTTTAAACCTTTACTTTGAAACTCTGAATTACATTAAATCGCAGTTGTACTTGCATTAGGTTAAGCTTACTGGCTTATCCCGTGGAAACGGTTGTAGGATATGTTGACATTATGGGAAATGCAGTTTCAAGCAGCAGACTTTGGAAATGAACCTGTAACACAGGCCAACAGTCACCATGTCTCCGATTCTGCTGAATTCTTTTTGGCTATTTTTCTGAGTTTGATCCTAGTTTGAGGATGCTTTTGTAAAACACCCTGTGACACTTTGCCTCCTGGGCTCATTCTCACTGCTTATCAAACGAAGAAGCCACGGAGCTCCTCCCATTGCACCTTTTCACCAATAAGGTGTGAGAATGATGCCTCTTGCTGGGCAGTGAAGGCAGTTCAGTCTGCCGCCTCCTCCTTTTGCTCTTCTCTCACAGGCCAGAACTTTAAGACTGAAAACCAAGAATCCAGTTTTTATTTATCCACACAGGAAAAAGTTCACCTGTGCAGCTGATTAAATTCCAGACACACTCCAACTGAAAGGGACAGCAAGGAGCGAAATTGAGGGAAAATATTTTGTACCTTTAGTTTCTAACTACTTTTTGTCATCATTATTTATTTATTACGAGTGGCTGCACTGCAGCATTCACACCTGGAGCTAGAACTAATTATTCTCACTAAAGAACCACAGTTGGAGTTCAAGTCGCCCCCTCGTTTTCAACAAAGAAATCCAAACTGTGCTTTTGGTTTCTAAACATTTTCCACAAAACCACACTGGCATTTTTCTGTCACCACAAAAAGTGTATCTGTTACACGTCTGAGCAATAAAGCTCCAGAACCTTCATAAGAGACTGTAAATAAAAGATGGACAGCCACTGTGGCATCAGTGAGGGCAGGTCTGACGTGCTCACTGGCCACAGACGGGTCAAACCTGCTGTTTCACATTTAAACTAAGCTAGTGACCGACGCCGTAGACCAATGATTGCTAACGTGTGGGCTGCAGCGATAACAGCAACTCAGTTTTACTCAAGTATGTAAGTTAAATATTTATATAAATTTATATCCATTCATCCTCTTCTGCTTATTGTCAGGTTCACAGGCAGGTTGGAGTCTATCCCAGCTACCATTGGGCGAGAGGTGGATTGTTATTACTGAGCTAAATTTGCTGCTCTTGTATTCAGTTGTGTCCCAGTGGCAGCTGGTCACACATTGGCCTCAACGCTTTATAGCAAACAACCTGCGTTGTGTTTCTTGAAGAAAAAACAAAACAAAAACTAAATTAATACTTTCTCTTGAATTTCAGAGGGAAGCTTTTAAGACTGGATGAGCCTCGTGGGACTTTGTTGCAGCTCTCTTGACTTTGGGAAGAGCCATAAAATATTCATCTAACTAATCCAACACATTATACAACTGGAACTCTTTCATCTTTTATAGACGTGTCTACGATATTAGCTCTCATCTGTGCACCAATTCACCTCCAATTTCCTAATTCCAAAACAAACCAACTATTTGATCCTCGTCAGGAACAGGAACCATATTTTAGGTTAAACCTATAATACTCGGACTGTTTCTACTTCCTTTCTCCGCCTCAGCTGTACGGCCCTACGACCTACAGCTGCAGGGTTTAACTTGAAGCCACGTTAGCACCACAGGCCTGATTGGAAAGCAGATTTATTCTCTGGCAAACAGCTGGACAGACAGGGAGAACTCACATGTACAGTCAGCATGGAGACAAGTGGATGTAAACACAATACAGCTTTAACAAATGACAACATAACTGTATACCTAAAAAACTGAAACCGTTTCCCTCTTAAAATTCTGGCCTATTATAGAAACAAATACAGATAAAACCAGTAGAAGAAGCTGATGCTGACGGAGCAGATGGCAGTGTGAGCAGCGCCTGGTGAGCAGAGACACCCGGAAACAAAGAACCACATCTGGAGAGTTCCCACGCCTCCAGACTTTTTTACAGGATCAGATTCTGGGGATCATCACAATCGTCAGCGGTTCTTTGTTTGAGGGTTTCAGAAAAAAAAAAAGTAACAAACAAGAAAGAAAATGGCAGCAGCGCTCGTTTTTCCGTCCAACTCGTCCACGCTCGGGGCCGTGTAAAGGCTAAAACAAGCGCTCCTTCTCGTTTCTCTGCCTATCTGAGCGGCGAGCTGCAAACACACGATGAGATCCGATTGGACAGGTGTTCCCTGACACGCCACTTCGTGGTCCTGTGTGAGAGGATTCGTGGTAGGCACCGGGTCCCAAAACGACTTTTAATAATTACAAACATCATCGTTGGCAGCGCGACGGCAGTCGTAACCACGGGTAACAGTCGGGCTCCCGTGGTTATCAGAGACAAACGCGTTGGCAACATGAGCCCCGTTTCCCCTGGCTGACAAGCTGGAGAGACTGGAGGGGGCGGGGCTTCAGTGAAATGTGGTGGCAGCAGGCTGATGATGAAAAGTGTTTGAAGGAGGAGGGAGGGCAGGGGGTGGGGGCGACATGGATATTATTGGTCCTTCTTCTCTGATTCTGTCGCTTCCTCTTTAGTCTCCTCAGATGACTCCTCATACCTGAAGAAGAGAAGAAGGACGATGTTAGTGTTTCACGAATATGAATCCAATGCTGCAGTTCCTCTAATGGCCTCTGGAGGCTCAAACACCCCGATTCAAACAGTTTGGATTCTCGCCAATCTCCACCTTAAAACAACTGAAAGGTGAGCGATCGCTTTTCTAATAAATCACCCATTTGGATTTTCTCGAGGCCTAAAGTTACGGGTGTTTGTAAAGATCGGTGGAACAAACAGTATCATCGTGTTTCATTTCTCGGTTAATTAGCAGCGACCTGTGTCTGTGCACTGCACCTGTCTGCTTTACCAGTGCTAATCAAGCTAACAACACCCCACCTTTGGATCAGCTGAATTTTTCCTCCTTCATGATTTTATTAATATTATAAAAGATGAATCTGATGGAGCGATGGTTTCATGTAAGCAGGTTAATGGGCTCATTAATGGGCTTTTTACCTGCCCAGGTGAGACAGAGAAGGGGACAGTAAAGATAGAGGGGCGGGGCTTCTACATCGAGGTAGGTTGTAATCTGCGGTGGCGTGGGGAGGAGCCTGTCGCCACAGAGACGGCATCCATGGAGCTAGCCAGGCTTGCGGGAGAGCCGCTGACGGTTGGAAAAGAAGTAAGTCTGGGAGAGGTGGGAAGAACTTCCTCTGAAGACTCATAGCTAACCACGGGGGGGGGACACGGGGAGCAGAGGAAGGAAATGGAGACACAGAGGAGATAAAAGAAAAATACAGAGAAAGAAAAAGGAGATGATAAAAGTAGTGAGAAAGAAAGGAGGCAACGACAGAGTGTGGCAAATCATCTTAAACTCTAAAGGTCTAAGTTACTATAGAGCTCTACTGCCGTGACAAACGAGGAGGACGGAGGATAAAGACCGACCGGAAAGGTGGAATGAAAACAGAAGATGGGAGCGAAGAAGAGGTGGGAAAAAATGTAAGAAAGTACAAAACAGACATGGGAGCAGGGAGTGAAATGATGAGGTCGATGAGCAGGAGACCTTCAGTCTGCTGACAGAAGCACCTGAACATACAAAGGAGCCGTCATAGACTCTGCATTTAACATGGAAACTGCTGCTCGGAGAACCTCGGCGGTTCCTGCAGCGCAGACTAAACTCCAGACTGAGAGATCCTTTAAAAACTGAGGAGGTGCTCCTGTTTTTAAAACACTATCATTAAATCAGGCCCCGAGGTTTCAGTCCCTCCTCCTGCACTGGAGTGTCTGTGCTGAAGTCAAGGTCCAAATCTTATTTATTCTTAAATGAAACAAAGAAATGTGGTTTAGCAGACGTGCACTTTGGTGCATTTAATAACAGAAATGCTTCAGTGTCATTGGTCGATAGATCACACTTTTAAATTTTACATTATACCCGAAGAAAAAAGAAAAGAAAGAAATCTGTCCAATCACAGAGCTTCATTCCGGAATAAACAGCCAATAGGGTTTCAGCCCACCAGGCATGAGATTCTGAACCTTTAATCCACTAAACAAAGAATCCTCATGAGTCTAATTTCAGTAATTACAAATAAATCTCTCAGCTCGTTAATTTTAGTGCAAACGTATGTTCAGACTTCAGAAACATGTTTTCCTGCTAAAACAAGCTCGGCCCTGCTGCCTCACCGTGGTTGGTCACCGTGGTTACTCACCTGAACATCTCTGTGAGCTCTCCTTTGAACAGCGCTATGATGACGGGGAAGCCGACGCAGGCGGGCACCAGGTACAGCAGGGCGGGCTGGACACAGAGATTTAACAGCTTTTAACGTCCTCAATCATTAAAACTGAGACGGGCAACATCATCGGGTCTTTTTTAAGTAAATGATAACTGTAAATCCTAAATACAGCAGCACAGCATTTAATGGTGTCTTTCCCTTGTTTGGATGTTGGTCTGTAAATAAATAAACTGCACAACAACAAACAGCTGTGAGCGACGAGTAAATCCTTAAAGCTTTATTGGCTGCGGCTTCTTAAACACACCCTGTGCAAATTTAATACCTACAGCAGATTTTCCAGAAAATTAAAATTTCAGACTTTTCACTTAATAAGCTGCTCACAAAATCAGACTTCATGTTTGTCCCAGTTTGTTAATAAAGCCAACGTTTAGTCCGCCTCCAGGAAACATCAGACTCCACGTTAAACAAAGGACGGACGCTGAAGTTAAAGGTCCCGACCAGTGAGAACACAGAGTCACTGCAGCACTTCATCAACCTCATGTTCTTGGCAACCAATTATCAGTTGTTTAAATAAGAGGAAAAAAAGAGAGCAGATTAGCTGACTGTAACTCTGGTCGGTATGACAGGATGTGGTTTTCATCGGCTTCACATGGGGAGCTCCAGGGTCCCAGAGGTGGTTTAAACTGGAAATTCGAAGCTTTACTGCACTGACAATAAAAGGAATAACGCAGGAACACAAAGGTCCCAACCCTTAAATCGGAGCCTCTCTCCTATTCAAAGCTCTCTGGAAATCTCCCCGACAACATTCAGCCTGGCTCAAGAGCAGTTCTGGACATTGAGTAGACTAAAGTCTGTATTCTGCTTGAATAAATTAGACTGAAAGGAACAACAGCAAACAGAACGCAGGTAGAACTCTGGGATACACAACAAATCGAATTTTAATCTCGATCACGAGTTAGACTAAATTATCAAACGATGCGGCGTTTGCTAACGTGAATCGTCCAACACGAACTCAAACGCCCGTAACTGCGAGTCCTCAAAATGAGCTGATGCGACTGACTGCAAAGAGGCTGTTTTGAGAAGAGACTGAACAAAACAAAGTTGAGAAGAGTGATTGCGCTTTAAGCCTCGTACCTGTGCATGTTTGAAGGTGTGCATGACAAAGATGGTGAGGCCCAGTCCAAAGATGTAGGCCAGGAAGCTGGAGTAGAAATACGTCCTGCTGTTTTTATTCAAGCTGCAGGTAGAAAGGGAATAAAGAACATTCATCTTGTTTAAATCCCACAAATGAGAGAAAACAAAGGAAACGAGGCAGCTGAGAGGAAAGGACCGAGTGTTACCTGACATCGAAGCGCAGCAGCAGAGCGATGAAGATACCCGGGATGACAATGTCTCCCAGTCCCAGCATGGCAAAGTTACTGGCCTCCAGACCTTTCTCCAACAAGTCCTGTGGAAACACCACTGCAGTGGAGCAAAGACGGGTGGGGGAGATCACAGCAGGACAGGAGGTCAGCTGGGTGAAGTCTATGAAGAGCAGGAGCTAAAACTGACTGACACGGTCATACACAGCACTTACATTTGATTGGTGCTTCAAATGACTTGGCAACAGTCACCATGACGTTGGTCCCAAACACCTGGAGACACACAGAATAAGGATGATGTACAGCTGTATTCATGCTGGGTCATTGTTGGAACATCTGGATTGTGTCAAAGTGCTGAAACTGAACATCTGGACATGACAGAGCTGAGCTCGAATCGTCTGGAACGTTTCTGTACGACTACCTGAGCTGGACACGTGATCTACTCACCCAGAAGACGTCGTAGATGAACAGCCCCCCCAGCAGGATACAGCCGGTGCTGACGTTGTTCAGGTGGAGCAGCTCCACTCCGTTCAGGGCAAACGCCAGCCCGAACAGGTTATTGGCTATCCAGTGCTGTGATGTCACAATACACACGCACACGTGAGCACAAAATGACGCATCTGAGCGGCTGAGACGAACACATTTACACAAATCCTTTTGTTTTTGAATCCTTTATACAGATGTTGACCAGATGTTCTTTAGTCTCAGCTAAATAAACGAGTTTGGATTCAGAGGTTTTATCCTCATTATTCTTTAAATCATAATTAGAAGCCAAAAGTGAAGCTGACAGCAGGCTTCGATCGCATTACAGATTTCAGCTCTATGTCACAGCGTGGAACATCATTTCTGATGGAAATAATTAGAGCTTACATTTTATACCATCTGTCGGAAAAACAGGAAACATTTTAAAATCTGTCGATTTTCTTTGTTTCACACCGGAAGGAATCAAACATAAGCACTAAAAGCTATTTACTCAGTAAATAACTAATTTGGCATCTTGATGAAAAAACAATAATAACGTGCTTCACTGTTTTTACTGCTTTTATGTAAAAGAGTAAACTGAAAAATTCAAGAACAACAAAAACAAGATTTAAACACCATGAACATTAAATATCACTTTGATTATAAACTTGCACATGTTTGTGGATTAACCATTACTGTCATTTAGGGCTTCATAAATAATTCATTACCCCACAGATCTAAGCTCAGCCATGTCGGAGCTCACAGCTATGCTCAGCTCTGTGTGCTGCACGTGTCGCTTTTACCTTTTTGAGCAGGTACCAGACTCCCACCACGCTGCTGATGAGCAGACACACCAGGTTCTTGGTGTCAAACTCATAATTGACTATTTCTGTAGAGACATGGAGAGACGCAGGTCAGACATGAATGTGAAAGACGTCAGAAGACCTAAATCGGGTTCAAAAGGCCGTTCAATAAACCACATTTATACAGAGATGCTTACAGCTCTGACAGATTCAACCTAATAAACTTTAACCGAGGCCATTTGTCGCTTCCTCAGTAAACACGATTCAACGAGAAGATTTACTCCAAAACTTTACTCATGCAGATGAACCTGTACAGCAACATCATCGTCCTGACAAAGAGAAACAACATTCACTGTTCTAAGGTTTTATACATCAAGACATAATAAACAGATCATGTGTTTCTTTACTGCTTCAAAGGGACCTCAGAGGGTAAGTGGCAGCCAGGCGCTGATAGTTAAATGCACTTCATTAAGTGATCATCAGCAACAAAGTCCATCATTCTAAAATTAAAACATACTGACGGCTGCTAGTGCCATCTGTCAGCCTCCTCCTAGCTCAGGGATGGGGAACTGCAGGCCTCGAGGGCCGGCGTCCTGCAGGTTTTAGACGTGTCAGCTGACAAATGGCTAAATGACCTCCTCAACATGTCCTGAAGTTCACCAGAGGCCTGGTAATGAACTGGTCATTTGATTCAGGTGTGCTGACCCGGGGTGATCTCTAAAACCTGCAGGACGCCGGCCCTCGAGGCCTGGAGTTCGACAGCCCGTCCTAGATTCACCTTTGGTATCATTTTGAAACCTACGTACAGAGATTTTCAGACCTCTGAGGTCACTGAGATTCTAACTCATTCGAGATTAGTAGCTGCACCTTTGGTATGAATTTGAAAATACTGCGTTGCCTCGTTCCTGAGTTATCGCATTCAAACTCGGGTCGTCACCTCGGCCCATCCACCCGTAAAAATACCCTTTTACAGGCGAGGAGGGCAACAATTATTCATCTGAAAACTTTCCATGTCAGACTCTACAGGGCCCAGTTAGCATGTTAAAGGTTAAAGTTCATGACAGCACAGTTAGAAAAAGAAAGCACAGCTTAGGTTAGTGAAGCTTCATCTGAAGGAACGATGACATAATCCACAGCAGCACACACATCTCACACCAACCGGAAGCACAGCAGCGATTTAATCATCGAGCCGAGCGTGAGGTCCTCTCTATACCAAAGTATTCTGGGGTCAAGCGTGAGGTCGTCTGTCTCATAGCTAATGCTTGAGCTAACATTTGGTCCAGAGGAGGATCCAAGCACAGCAGCAAATCTCCAACAGAATAAGAAAAGAATCACCGTGCAGCAGTGACCCAGTCAAAGTCCAGACCCGAGTCTGAATGAAACTCTGCAGCAGGACTTCAGAGAGCCGCGCATTCACGAAACCCCACAAACCAAAGACTGGACTAAAATTCCTTCAAAGCGATATGCAAAACAATTCACTTCCTCTGGCATCTTTGCCGTGCAATACTTTAAGAATTAAATCGGAGCAATAAACAGTTTGAACACGTTTTGGGTTTTTGTGTGAAACAAAAACATTTGCCTGCTCTTTTTAGGAATCTGGGTCTTTTAAACTGTATTTTTAAACAGTGTTTGTTCCCATCGTTGGTGGAACGGGCAGCAGGTCTCACCTTCTTTGGACTCTCCGGAGCCCTGAGTGAAGAGCAGCTGGTACTGTTTGTTTGGGAAAGATGCTGGGAAGACTCTGGACATCAGAGGACTGAGAGACAGAACCAAGAACAGAGACGAGTCACCTCCAACATCAGTTAAACCAAAGCGATTTACTCGCACACACATTCACGTTCTCTGACGTACCTCATAGTGTGAGACAGAGCCAGGACGCCCAGGACGAAGAAGTAGACCGACAGCAGCAGGTTGATGTACTCTTGAGAGAATACCTGCGTCACAGCACACGTCCAGCATCAAAAACAAGCCTCATCTGACGAAATGCACCGTTGCAGCTCTCCCCGAGGTAAGAGACGCCGACTTACCTTGAAGAAGAGGTAGAGCCCAAATAGAGTGCAGCTGGCGATGATGGGGAACCTCGCTGCGTCCCGACTGGTGATGGTCTCAGGCATGTCGGCTGCATTCTGGGAGAAACGGAGCGGAGACAGAAATATGAGCAGGTAAGGTGAAGGTTCACCAGAAGACAGGGATGTGCACACCAATCCAAACACCAGGTGAGACCACACCAAGCTAAAGCTTCCCATCACAAATTTAACCTGAAAGAAGATGAACTAGTCTCCAGACAGAAACCAGTGAAGTTTTAAATGAAGATCATCAATTTTAAATTAGGGTTATATGGACCACAGTTTATGTGTTGTAATGTAACTGTTACTGTCAACGTTTAACGCCTAAACTAACCCAAATACCGGGATTAACCCTGAGGCCCCTGATGAGGCCCTGTGAGGCTCCATGAGGCCCTGTGAGGCTCCGTGAGGCCCTGTGAGGCTCCGTGAGGCCCTGTGAGGCTCCGTGAGGCCCTGTGAGGCTCCGTGAGGCCCCGTGAGGCCCCGTGAGGCCGTGTGAGGCTCCGTGAGGCTGTGTGCCAACACTGCAATAAGCAGTTGCTTCACTCTGCAACCACAAACTAATCTGAGGCGCCGGCTGCTGCTCGTGAAATGAGGCAACACAGGCACCACAAACCTGCCTGCACAGCTGTCATGCTGGGGGTCAAATACTCAGTTTTGCTTAGAAAGCCTGAAGTAACTGCAGCTGTAATCAGAGCTGAGCCAATCTCTAAATACTAAAATAACGTGCTGCGGTGCGTCCTCCTCTGTGGAGGTGACAGTGGAGCATCGCTGAAGAAAGAAAGGAGAAACTGTCCAACAAGTGCTCACCGGGACTGATGGCAGGCACACGGGCACAAATCAGGTAAATATTAAATATTAGTGTGTTTTTCACGTCATGCTACAAACTGATACGAGTTTAACCTTCAGTGACAGCCTGAGTTAGACCCACAGACGAACACTGAACACTATGCCTCTGTGATAAAATCTGATTCTTATCGAGGCGTCGCTCGTGTGGATATTCATCATTTAGCAACAAAGCTTCTGAAAGCTGGGACTTCCTGGTGGTATGAAAGGCTTTGGAGGATACAGCCATCACACCAGCGTGGGTTTGAGCGCTGCAATAATTACACAATGGCAGAAATGTGCGTTTCCACAGACATGCCAGAGGGCACCTCCCTGTCTCTACCGAGGCCTGTCCTCCTCCCGATCAGGCCGTCCTTCCACACTCGGGTCGGATCACAGAAAAGAAGAGCTACTGTAGACTGACAGAAGCCCTGAGAGAGAAGCCTGAGAGTCACCTCCATCTATATTCTCCTCCATCTACTCACCTGAGACAGAAACTGGGACAGAGGAGGAAGTAGAGGGATAAGGAGAGGAATCCTACACAAACCAATGCTTTATAATCCAAAGCTCAAGTTTACAGTAAATGCAGGATTAATATTACAAACATTTTCTAAATGGTAACATCCTGTCTTTCCTGAAACTAAAGATGTTTTTAAAGCAACATGAGCTTCTATAGAAACCAGTAAATCTGCAGGTGACTGAGTTACATGTACCACAAACACACAGCTGTTAGCAAACAGGCTGAAGTAACACCGTGTTAGTGCGAGTTAGACGCTGCTAAGATCTACATGAGGACGAGGTTAGTCGCAGGAACCTTCCTGCACAGTTAATATTCTAAAAATAAACCTCAGTACTGTGAGGTTGTGCGTTTTATGTACCAGTGTTTGGGCTCCACTGAGTCCAGTCATTTTTACTCCCTTTTATTTTCTACTTTAAGCCGTTATTCTATTTGCAGGCTGTGTTTGTGGTTTTGGCTTCTTTAACGAGTCCTCTGTGCATGAAACTGGTTCCTGGCATTGCTGTAGGACTTCCTGCCAACATCCCCCCCGGTCTGTGTTATGTGCTGCTTTGAATTTGTTTTTGTTAAAGTCTGGCTTACAATTTGCATGAACCTGAACCAGACTAAAAGTGATCAGTGCAGTCGGGACGCAGGCGAAGCTTCAGTGGAACTTTGCATGTAATCCAGACGCCGCGGTCTGTGCGCGACTGCCGAACCAAAGAGGCCGTTTAAAGTAATCAAGTTCACGTAGCGTTATCGATTCCTTACGTCACCCATGAAATGCCGTGCTGATGGTTTGAGGACAGTTTAATGCGGCCATCAAAATGCACATTACTCTGTTAAATTTCGTATTTTCTTTTACTCAACCTTCATATTTAGACACGTCATTTCCCCCATTCTGATAAATTCCTTTCTGCACAAATTTTCCTGAAGTAGTTTTAGACAATTTCCTGGGAAATCCTGCAGCAGAATCTTGAACCCGTTTCAAAAACGTGTTTATACTTTTGGCACCGCGTTTCATTTTCTCTAACGCCTACAGAGCGTGTGCGCAGCTAGCTGTACCCACTAAGACACAATAAAGTTGAATATATCAGGCAGGAATAAGCTGGGATTATCAGCCACAGCAGATGATCTTTTTTTAACTTATCAGTGCAGAAAAACAGAAAACAATCTAAATCTGATTGGTTCTTGCCCCTCTTCTTCTCCATTGCAGGCGTTCCTTTTATTTCACATGTCTGTTTGCTTTTGGACAGCACACACACTGAAACAAGCGTGAGCTGATGAGCAGTTTGTTGTTCCGGCTCCACCCAACACCTCTGCGTTCATGCAATCCCTGCTGTGTCAGTGCTGGAAACCAACAGTGTCTGGGTGTATTGGTGCACACAGCGGCTCTCATACTCACTCTGAACCCAGAATCGTAATCATTTTCTCCGAGCTCCTACAGATAGACAGACAAACAGAATGGGTGGACAGACAGATGTGCACACAGACAGACAGGGAGAGAGAGGATCAGATCGGCAATCAGGAGCAGGGCTGGAAGCAGGGCCCAAAATTAAAGCAAGCAAACAGGTGTCCAATACAGGAAACAGATCATCATTGCTGGAATTACACAGGGCAACAGCTTCAGTGAATAAAAGCTTTGATGTATCTGAACTCATATTCATATTATAGGATGGCTGACAGGAGAAACAGCGAGAAAGAGGAAGAACGGAGGAAGAGAGGAAGGATGCCATGGACGCAGACTTTAAACTGAACATCACCCGAGGCTCAGGCAGAGACTTTGTCAGATTTACCAACGCCAGCACAAAACCGCGTTTAAACCCCCCCACACATCTTTGCTACAGAGGTACGACCCGAGTCGTCACCCAGAGGGTTTACAGCCCAGCTCCAGGTATTTCTCATCTCCAGTGTTGCTATCCCAATGTCACAGGGCAGAGCCTGTAATGCTGAGGAGAAGGAAACACTGAGGAGCCACAGAAAGAGCCATACAAGTCACAGATGTATTAAAATGAGACAAGTATCCCCGTACAGTGAGCAGAGCGCTGTGTGGAGGGTTATAGTCAAACTTCTGCAGAGTTCACACATCATCAAGAAAACCTCCATTGGTAAGTGCGCACACACAGAGCTCTGCAACATCACAAACCCCTGTCATGTGTTTTGCAATAACTGTTAAAGGCTCCATCCCATAACACGGTGAAAGATTTGAATTAATTATTCAATACTGTATTTCAATTTTCTAGGATCATTTAATGCCAAATACAGATAGCATTGTATCTCTGTAATGCTTTAATAAACAACACATTTGAATGAAGTCAACACAGTCAGGCTGATTTTCATACCTTGTTTTTTCCGTTTCCAACTAAATGTGAACAAAGACCCCGTTTGTAGGTTTAAATTATTTTGTGAAGAACTATAAAATATTTAAATTCTCAGCATTACTGAAAATTCTCCCAATGAGGTGCTTTATTTACGCAGTAATTACAAATTACAATCAAAACAAAGCCTATAATGTTAAAAACCCACATATTTCAAACTATTTTCCATCTTCCTCACAACGGTGTGAAGAAACTGAGCAGATGGAGAATTAGCAAACTGACAATTTCACAGTAGGATGTATAAATGTAGGGTTGGGGTCAAAATGACCCACTGGAAAATTAATCCACAACTAAAAATAGTCCCCCGAAAGAAGACTGCCTGCTGTTTTCAACACCTAACCAGCTGACGTTTTAATGGTTACTTTGTTCTTTAAATTTCCAAACTGAACATAAAATTTAACATTTAGTTTTGAAATTTCATGTCAAATTATCATTTCAACTTTGTAATGATAAATGTATTTTACTAACTTAAACATATATTTTATCTCTAAACATTTAATACTTTTCTCTCTTTATCATTATTATCACTCCTGCTATTTTCTTAATATAACTGCACACTTTCTATTTGCTCATGTAAAGCTGAGGAGCCAAAGAATGTCATTATGGGTAAACGTGGCTACACGGTTTATCTGCACATGACAATAAAACTTGACACTCTCATACTTGCTGTGTAATAGTTTCATGTAAGAAAAGACAGAAACTGCGTCCTTTCGTAAAATTATTTCCATTCTGTGAACATTGTGATCTCGATCCATCTCATTCCCACCGAGTACGATCCTGTTTTGTGAAACACCTGCCTCAGGCCACCGAGCAGATTCTCTCCTTCCTCGCGAGATTTCATTCGCTTCCTGTTTTTGCAAATGTGTTAAGCAGCCGCTGATATTAAAGAGACCAAAGGAACACCCGTGGTTATGATTTCAGTCTAGTTACTGCTGTTTACGTCTCATTTCAATTAATGTCGCAATTCTCCCTGCGTGACACGTCCGCCTCGGTTTGTGGATGCGTTACATGCGAGTGACAGGATCCGCTGTGACTCAGTGAGATAAAACAGAGTCTACGTTAACTACAACCATCAGTGAAGGCAAACGTCAAAAACCAAAGAAACGAGCGACAGAAAATGAGAAACATGACAGAGCAGCGTGAAGCGTTCAGTCTGAAGCCATTTCTGAGAGACAGGTGAAGCTTTCTGGCATTACAATAACTGAGCAGCTCATGTCAAACCGAAATTCATCAAAAGTGGTTTTACTCTTGTGCTGTAACCAGGGGAAAGGTACATTTGTCCCTAACGTGACAAGAATCCATCTAGTTTCTGTTTTGTCTTTAGCCAATTAAAACATCTTGAGGGGAACTGAATATTTCTCTCTGCTCGGAAACCCGTTTTTATGCCTTCTGTATACAAACAGAAGAAAACAACATCTAAAGTCATTCTCTTCTGTCTCATTGTCATGTGTAAATCTGAAAATTTAAATACCTATAGTGCCAAAAACATTGGGCGGGTGTGCCACAGCAGAGCACTGATGCACTCTGCTTACTGTTGTTCAGCATCTAAGTACTCTTTTAAAGAATCCCCACAAGAGCGTCATCAAAACTTTTTTCTGGAAAAATCAGAAACAGGTGTGTCCCAGAGCACACGGAAAACACCTGACAGCTCCGGCCTACATGCTGTCAAAGTTTAATCTAGTCTTAAAGTTTCTGAATGTGTCTGATCTCTCCACGCTTCTCACGGTTACAGATCAGGTTCTGGGTCAAACTGATATTGCTCCTTCACTTGGACCGTCACACAGATATCACCCTCTCTGAGAATTCAGTCTAGACATTACTCTGTTTCATGCTCCAACTTTTCCCTCTTAAATCCGAACTTTGTGCATCAGAGCATGGGGAATTTTCCCCGTTTCACCAGATCCTACACTTGCTGCAGGACAGGTAGTTTTAACATGCATCCCCAGACAGTGCGCCCATAAAGGCAGAGCACCGTTAGAGCAGGGTGTGTCTCTGCTGGTGATACCTGAAACAGCAGCCGGTTTCATTTCACAGCTGTTATTAGCAGCTTCCGTTTATGCAGATTAACGTGATTTTCTGCCAGCTGTGTTGCGTCCTCAGAGTCACTAATAAAAACCTCCATCACCTCCACCCGGCCGTTCAAAGGATGTGGGAGGTTTTTTCTACTTTAAGCTAACTGCGCATGTCTGCAAAAACCCCAAAACGAGAACAAACAGAAACAGTACACGTCTCTCTCCATCACCTGGTGATGCGTTCACGACCACGAGGCTAGCATGGCGTTTTCTGACAGTCGGTTTAACCTCGTATTCATGTCACGACTCCGTTCAGCACAGTCTGTTTTCGGCTCACTGTACAACTTTTACTACAACTTTAAGTTACTACTCCCCACCCGGATGGCAGCGGTCCCCGTTACTCAGCCAGGTAAAAGTCCGTTAGGAGAAATGTAAATAAACATCTGTGCACACATCCTTTCATCACACGCCAAACAAGCACAAGTTGAGGAAAAAAAAACAGTTTAAACAGACACACACCAGAGGACCCGACACCCACTACGCAGGGTTATGAGTGCAACAAGTGCAGATAACGACTTTAAAAGCATAATTAGCATCTGGAAATAACCGGTAAAATCAAACAGCTGGATCTTTAAACCTTCACTCGGAGTCTGGACGCGTATTTCCCAACTTTATCGATAATTTCAGCACATCATTCTTCAATTAACTCTATCGCGACCCCCACTTTTGTATTTGTTTTGGAAAAATATTATTTTTAGCATCCTGGTGAGCCGCTAGTTAGCCAGCCGTTAGCTGTAGCAGCTAGCCGCTGAAGGCTAACGAGAGGCGGGCTGAAGTCAAACCCAAACGCCGGGGTCCACTGACAGTTACCTTGGATTTTGAGCAGGTGACGGACCGCAGGGCTCCGAAGAAGATGGGCAGGAGCGCCATGAAGACCAGGCTGCCGTACGCCAGAGCCGTGCCCTCCGGGGTGGCCACGAATTTGGCCGTGGCGTTGAGCGCCTCGGTCCCGTTGGAGTCCGTGGCGTTCAGGGCGTCCAGGACGGCCGATGCGGCGGCCTCCGAAGCAGAGGCCGGGATTTGTTCAGCCTCAGACATTGTTCTTCACACACAGAGAGGCTTCGGGGTCTGTTGAGGCTGTGGCGTTAACTGACAGGCGGATAGAAGTGGAAGCTGAAGCGGGGAGTCTGTCATTCATCTACCGCTGTGCTGCTGGAGTCCTGATAAGGCCACGTTTCCTAAAGCAGTGAGCGGAGAGCAGGCAGGAAGAGGAGGGCTCAACCCGCTGCTGTTTCCGGGGACACTGACAAGGCGTGCACGGCAAAAGAGGAGGTACCACGGGAGTAAAAAAGCAGGTAGTCACCATCTCTTTGTTCTGCTTTCAAAACTATCAGACTCGTATATTATCTATGTATACATAGATAATATATGCATATTCTGAGAAGCCACTAGATACAAACAGCAAGAAAACATAAATGAATACATTGCACACAAATAGCAGGCTATCTATATTAATGCAACTGAATTGTAAAACAACGACAACAACCCCCCAAAAAAGTTTTTAAAAAGCGCGATCAATGGGATTTTTTTTTTTACAGTAATAATGAAAGTTTGTGATGCACGAAGTGTGTTGTGCTTGCAGAATGACGACACGCACAAGCACCAGATGCTTATTTTTACTGTTCCCTCATTCACAAAGAGTCGTCGCAAGGAAATGATCAGTGGGTGGATCGATTCAAATATCAGCGGTAACCTTAACAACGCTGGGATCGATCACCTAAGTCCACTAAGTTGCTCCCGTATCAGAGAGGAGACAGGTCTGTGCAAACACCGCTCCTCTGCTGCAGGAACACTTTGCTCCGCCACCTCATTCCTCCTGTGCCGTTCAGTAGTTCCACAGTCACGTGACTCAGTGGGCCAACATCAAGCAGGGCTGGCTCAGTGGTTGAGAAGGGGCGGAGCAAAGTGTGACAGCATGAGAGGAGCGGTGTTTACATGCTTCCTTTCTGATGACCGAGAGCAAAGTATTGAACTTACAGCAGAGAAGCAAAGTCCAGCATTGATCCTGTAATAATATCAATATCCAACTACCAGCCTCTGTATATTTTATATATTTTATTTTATTTTTAACTCTAATTTGTAAAATATGTATACACACACACACGTAGATATACATATTTAGTATACACATTCAGTAATGTGCATACTCTTATATCGTACATATATTTATTCATATAATTCTCAGATTTAGCCATTCCTATATTTTGCTTGTTCTTATGTTATTGTATTTTTGCACACCTCTGTTGCTTGTGAAGCTCGCACACAATTTCACTCACATGTACTGTACCAGTGTACCTGCACAGGTGATGTGACAAAAGTGATTTGATTTTAACACCATCATTGATCCAATGCTGATATCAACACTGATATTGATACTATCAGTGTTTGGATCGATCCCCCGAGCCCAAAGCACTGATCTATGCAGGCTGCAGTCAGGAAAAAGTGAAGTGTGCTAGAAAGGTATTATGCCATGACACTCACTCATCTCATTGATGCTCATGAGATTAAGGAGTGTTATAAAAATAAAATGTCTCCATAATCCCAATCAACAGATTAGTTTTGTGATTAAGTGAATTTCAGACTGACATACTAATGTTCTTTCACTGATATACAAATAATCAAAGGTGATAGGATCAGCAAATCAATTTGAAATACATCCTTAAAAACTTTGTGGTGGATGAAGTGTTTTCTTACTGCAGTAAGAAGAAATGCAGGATAAGACGCGTTCTGCTCAGTTTTAATTCCAATTCACAACAACAGTCGCTTCAAGGTAAAAACAGGAGAGAACGTTCAACACCTGTCTGCTGTCATCGGGAGGAAAAATGACAGACCGATGATTTTTTTGAAACCCTTTAACTCATTTAGTAATCGATCCATCCCTGTGGTGTTTTCAGGTGAACCTGTATCAATGCAGGCAGCTCGTCCCAAAATAACAACATCTTAAGAATGTTTTTTAAATTTTATTTTACTATTAAAAAAAACTTTACTGAATTTTATAAAACTCTCAAGCAATGAAAATCTTAACATTTTCAGAGGAATTCTAAATATTTACATCAGTTTCTGTACAGACCCGAGGGGGACACATCAAGAAAAAGATGGAAAGAAGAAGAAAACAAAGAACTCCTAAAAAATAAAATCAGATTACATTTTCACCTCATAACAAACAAGACTGTTGGATGCACTTTTGTCTTGATGCAAAAACCTTAATTTAAAATATTTTAAAATCAGCACCAAAAACCCTGAAAGTCTCATATTTGAATTTTTGTTTTAAAATTTTACACATTCTGTTCCTGGAGCTGCCTCGCTGCTCAGTCACTTCACTTTGGTCTAAGAGCAGTAGAGCTGGGACTATAAAATAAACCCGTGTTAAAAGAACGGACAGCGCCGAGTGATCCTGGCACAGCTAGAAGGTGAACTGGTTTTGGAATAAAAAAAGACAAACGAGTATAGAAAGCATTCAGAGCCCGGGATGATCACAGGGCAGAGAGGAAGGACCAGAGGATCACAGAGGCACTTATTAGGCTCAGGAGGGGCGTGGCCTGAAGGAAGAGGGCGGAGCTCTTTAATACCACTTCCACTGGGTAATGGTCACTCAGCTGCACCACCTGGCAGACAGAAGCAATGGAAGTCAGAGTCGATCACTTAAAAATGACATTTATTTTTTAAAAAAAGGAGGAAGAAATCCAAAACTATGTTGTGCAGCTTTCTATATTTTGGATTTAAATACCGTTTTTTTCAGATGCTGTATTATTATAGATAAAGCTACCCAGCAACAGATCAGTGCTTACAATATTAAAGTAGTATACACATTCATTATTCCACATGTATCAATTAATCTTACGGATCAGTATTTATGATCAAATAATATAATTTCTACATAATGAGTGGCCACTTTATTAGGTATACCTAGCAAAGTGTTGAGCTGCTTGTTAACACAGATGTGATCAGTCACACGGCAGCAGCTCAAACAGAGCATCAGGATGAGCAAGGAAGGGGCTTTAAGTGACGTTGAAACCTGCTGTGGTTGTTGGTGCCAGACGGACTGGTCTGAATATTTCAGAATGGTAAATACACCGGTTCTTAAATAGGCTTTTCTGCTCAGAGTACTCAAAGCTGACGTAGTGGAATTTTCCCACACAAACATCTGTTTACAGAGAATGATCTGAATGCACAAGACATGAAACCTTGAAGCAGATGTGTTACAGCACACTCTTGTCAGCTAAAAACAGGAAAAACATCAGACTCCTTTATCATGCAGTGTATCTGTTTGAGGGCTCAGGCTTCGCACGTACTCTCATTACAGCTCAAGAAACTACTGATGTGCCATCATCCTAAAATACACAAATTACTCATAACTTTAAAACAAACATGTAGATAAAGTGAACCCACTAAGATGTTCTAATTTATCAAACTTCCTTTTCAGACGTGTACCAAATTAATGCAAATCCAAATGATTCAGAGTTAAATTTTATATGTTTGATATGATAAGACATTTACAGACCGTTAATGAGTAAACAAACTGTCTATGTCTGCACACTAGAGGGCGCTGCAGAGGATTCTTAAATATCAATTTCATGCTTTCAGACATAATGCCGTACCAAAAAAAAATATGTCAAGAAGACTACAAGCAGCCAAATGTCAGCATAATCAGCAGATGATCATAACCCACACTGAAGACAGACAGCAGTGTTTGTCCTGCTGGGCAGGAACTATAACTATAAAGACTGTAACAAACTCTGACGCTTCCAAATGCTTCAGGAAGGCTGTGATTGTGTTTTATTAGACCTATTAAATGTGACCAGTATATATGTGGTGTCATGTGATCAGTTACCTCGCTCCTGGACATTTTGAACTCCGCTCCGAGATCAAAGACTTTTGCAGAGAATGGCTTGATTGCCCTCAGGAAGGGTTCTCCATGCACAACAATCCTACACACACACACACACACACACACACACACACACACTTTAAGATTAACTGTAGCTGACACTTTGTTCGCTGACATCCAGCAGGTAACTCTCTACATTCACCAGCTGTTATATGTTAATCCACAGTTTTGTCAGCACACACCTGTCGTATGCACAGCTGGTCGCGTCGGTGACAGTGGTGTCCTCTCGGTTTCTGATCAGCCAGGAGAACTCCGACTTCATGAACAGCCGTATGTTTTTCCTGTCACTTCGTTTCACATACGCACAGCTGGCATGGAAATCTCCCAGGAACATCACATTCTACACACACAACAAAGCGAGTGAGTCAGCCTCCAAAGAATCCCACAGTAAAACTTCACCAGTTTTTTAAATCCTGCTATGAAGGCCAGTGCTGCCCCTCAGCCTCCAAGCAGATGCACCTGTGGTTTCAATCTGAAACTCCTACATCGCCTTGTTCTCAAGTTATCACATTCACAAACTCGCGTGTTCGTCCTGCCCGGTGGGGTGATGACAATACACCATTTACAGCCCAGGGGTAAAAATGTTTACATTTAAAAGAAATGCATAAATGCTTTTAGTCTCTATAAATATCTGCATCTTGATGAAGTCAGTGCTTCTATTTATTTTTATATTTCCAAGTTAAAGCTTGCTGATAAACCTGACATCTCCTTCTGTCTAAATATGGACAAAAAAAAAAATTATCCAAAAACACTGCAGATGGTAAAGTGCTGATACCGAGGCTTCAAAATCCTGAGTGCAGAGTCAGGCTATGGTTTCAAAGTCAGGGGTTTTTGACTTTGAGGCAGCACGGTGGTTAGCACTGTTGCCGCACAGCAAGAAGGTCCTGAGTTCAATTCCACCATCAGGCCGGGGTCTTTCTGTGTGGAGTTTGCATGTTCTCCCCGTGTTTGCGTGGGTTCCCTCCGGGTACTCCGGCTTCCTCCCACCGTCCAAAGACATGCAGCTTGTGGGGATAGGTTAATTGGATAATCCAAATTGTCACTAGGTGTGAATGTGCGAGTGAATGTGAGTGTGAATGGTTGTCTGTCCCTGTGTGTTGGCCCTGCGACAGACTGGCGACCTGTCCAGGGTGTACCCCGCCTCTCGCCCTATGACAGCTGGGATAGGCTCCAGCGCCCCCCGCGACCCTGAAAAGGATAAGCGGAAGCGAATGGATGGATGGATTTTTGACTTTTGTGTATAAAGTGACCTTGGATTCCTTGAAAGGCTCTATGTGAATAAAGTCATTTTCCATTTTAAAGCAGACCTTTACAAACACGGATTATGTGAAAATCAGAACAAAGTTCTGTCACATCTGTTCTGATGAGCCTGTTATTAGATGAGTTTTCGCACCGTGTTGTTCCATTTCTTGCTGACTTCCACAAAGACGTCGTAAAGCTTGTTGATCTCCTGGACGGCCTTGCTGGGCTCACTGTGGAGAGGGACCAAGATAAACTCCCCGATCGCTGCCGGGTGGAAAGAGAAAAGGAAAAAACAAGAAGAGAAAGAAAAAAGAGAAGAATGAAGGGCACCGTTTTAGTTTAAATCTGAAACTAAGAAGAAAAGCATTCAAAATGTTTTCTTATGCACTAACATGCATTCTTGCTTTGGAAGCGAACCACAAAAGGCTCTCTGACAAACGACTGCTGGCTCCTGTACTGGTATTGACCCGTCATGTTCACCGTCTGCATCCTGTTTGGAGAAGGAAAGATTAAATGCTGTTTAATCATTGGTACGAGCAGCATGTGACCCCTGGTTAATCTAATTTTCATTCAGCCCCTCCTTCATGACGATTAAGTGGCAGGGTGAAAGTGACGGCGAGGTCACGCTTTATCCAAAGCTGGACAATTTTAAATGTTGCATTTGATTAATGTACTTTAACAGTAGCTGTGAAGCACAGACTCTCGTCTACACTTTACAGTTCAAATCAACAAGAGAGCGCCGAATCACAGTTGGTGTTCACGTACTGCAAACAATCTTGTAGCCTACAAGCAACAAACACCAGAGAGGTCTTTTTCCAGTCCTGGACCACAGCCGGTAGCGGTTTTTGATACGGGCGACACGGGTGGTTGCCCGGGGCGGGATCGTGGCGGGGGCGGCATCACGGGCATCGGCAAAAAAAAAAAAAAAAGAAAAATTGCTCGTACTCATTGGGCAAGACACTTCACCCGTTGCCTACTGGTGGTGGTCAGAGGGCCCGGTGGCGCCAGTGTCCGGCAGCCTCACCTCTGTCAGTGCGCCCCAGGGTGGCTGTGGCTACAATGTAGCTGCCATCACCAGTGTGTGAATGTGTGTGTGACTGGTAGTGTAAAGCGCTGTACAAATACAGGCCATTTACCATACAGTCCAGCATATAGAGAGACGAGACGACGAGGCTCCAGTTACAGCAGTGCAAGTAAACAAACAATAAATATACGAAGAGTAAGAAAATAAATATGCACTCTAGGACCAGGGGTAAAAGGATCAATAACAATTTAAAATTTATAATTTACAGTTTGATGATTTAAAGTCTCACACACAACCCGTCGAAAGGGGAGGGGCTGCTTCCAAATAGAGCACATTTCATTCATAATGATGTAAATCCAAGCCCATCATGTATTCATGATTTGAATCCTGGGTTGTGTGAAATCCCAGAAATAAACCTTAGACAAAGTGAATCTGTGAACTAAGGTGTAGGTCTGTTAGGTTATGTTGTGGTGATCCTCGAGTTGGGGGATTTGTGTTCATACTGGAGGGCAAAATTAAAACCAATGGAAGATGGACAAGAAAAGTTGAAAGTCATCAGGTGCTCAGTTTAGAAATAATAGAAAAGAAGCGAAGAGAAACGAGCAAAAGATGCAGGCAATACAGGCCAGAGGGAGTGTTCGCCCGGGGCGCCAAACAGGCTAGGACCGCCACTGACCACAGCCATGTCTTACCTGTAGATGAAAACATACTTCTGCTTGTCGTCAGGAGAGTTTCCCAAACTCTCACTGGCCACTGCCTCGTAGTCGTACTCTTCATACCTCAACGCAGAGAAGGAGACAAGAATGTGAAAAACGCAGCAGAGAAAGGAGCTGCACGTCACACAGTACACAATACACGAGCCCGCCAAAACATCAATGTGAACAGAGGAGCACAAGGACCGCTGGGGCTTATGAAGCCATCAGGTGAGCATTACAGAGCAGTCCTCATTGTTCTTTCAGAGAAACAAGGAAGCTAAAGTCAGATTTATCCCAGTGATCTGCTCTGCTGGAGTTCACGCCTCGATGAACGCTCCCTCGTGCACCTCTCTTCACATTGTTCAAGCAAATTTATACCAACATTCCTACAATTTAAACAAAATGCATTTTTTTTTAGGTAACCAGTTCCCTAGTCACTGAAATGTCATTTTTTAAAAATGGTCTTTTTATTTACACTTTCACCCCCCCCCCCCAAAAAAAAAAACAAAACAAAAAGACAAACCACAACAAAAACCAACCACCACACACACACGCACACACACGCGCACGCACACGACAGCACAGCACACGCACACACACGCACACACACACGCACACACGCACACACACACGCGCACACACACACACACACACACCCCAAGATTGTGCATGTGTGTTCGTGGTGGGAAGTCATACATGCATGTATGTAAATCTGCATGTAACCTCATTATCATGTTTTAGAAACACATTAATGCTTTTTGTGCCTGAAATGCTAAATAATATGCTAACATGACTAAAGCTAATGTAGCCCAGTCCCGTGATTTTTACTACACCTAAACATAGTATCCAGGGACTATGTTTAGGTGTAAACATAGTCCCAGAAGTGGAGCTCCCCAGGGCTTAGCACCCGGCCTACTAAGCTTTATACATGTACAGAAAGTATTTCAGTCACGCTGTCAGAAATATGAGACATATTTCAGCACGTGAAATTTGTAGTTTGGGATATTTACATCTAGCTAAATAAAAGTACAATTTACAAAACAAACAAACATGAAAATGTTTATTCTTCAACTTGAACCCACAGCATGTTTTTTTTTTGTACAGCGCCCACCCAAAGCTTGGACACACTGCACTGATGGGTAACACTTTATTTTGTTAAGTCAAAAGTACCTTTCACAGGAACCACTTAGTTGATAAATATTTTTGCAATTTAAACAGTCAGCAGTCCATAAACACATCACATATTTACATTTCGTTATGTGCTTTCACATGTGTGCTCATCTGCATTTACTACAGCTTTGATCCTTGGCTGCTCAGGTCTCCATGCTACTTCACCATTGTGAGTAGAAATGTGTTCATGTTAGATAGAAAGCACTTACATGGGAAAAGCATAGAAGAAAGTGCTTGTGTGAATGTGTGTGAATGAGGCAAGCGTTTTGAGTCCTCACTCAGACTAAAAAGCGCTACATTATTACCAAATTTAACAATAAATAATAATAATAATAATAATAATAATAATAATAATAATAATAATAATAACAATAATAATAATAATAATGGTTGTAGTGAACGTTACTTGAGTTGGCATTTAGATTGATATTAGTTTCTGTGTTTCTATTCTAGTTTCTATTCTTTTCCCCATAAAGACTGCATTTTACCACCTCCCCGTAACCATAACAACAAGTTTTGACATCTCCGTGCGTGTCAATAAAGATGAGGTTTGATGACCATAAGAATAGTTTCCAGGTTTTCCCCACGGTAAGTGCATGAGCAGAGACCGCCCTCACTAACTTCTAACGTGTCGCTCTATAAGCAGACATGAAAATGACAGAAACAGCTCAGCTCATGAAGAGGTTCAGGGGTCACTAGTGGCCCTTGAACCTCTTTTTAAGGCCCTGCTACTGACTAGGAGGCTTTCAAGTTGTTCAGAGTTAAATCAGAATCATTCAGTTCATGCTTTTCCCTTTAACAAATACTGGACTGATAAACCTGTACGACACATTTCCATCCCGATTTTCTCTAATAGTGACTTTCCAAAGTAAAGTGTTACCATTTCAGGCATTTTGGTTAGTAAAGGGTGTAAATTTCGATTATTAGGATTAATGAATATGATTAGATGATACTTCACATGCTCATTAAATCCAGTGTACCTGTCAGATCCCCTGTTGAAGGCAGACAGCAGACACATAATGACCATCATTATGCACATATTGTGGTTAAGCAGTGTTAGAATACTAGTTGAGTATATTAAAAGATCGAGCAGTTTACGGTCTTGTATGTCAGCAACATGCCCACGTACTCTTTAGCAATACAGCAAGCTCTTTGCATCGTTATCATAAAACACTGACTGGTAGTGAACTGTAGCTTTGTCAGTACACACAGAGTACAAACATAAAACAGGAGTAAGCACAGCCAACTGAATCATGCTGACACCTGTTGGTGCCATCGTGCTGTGTTTTCATAGAGCTCACAGCTGCTGTATTAGAAAGGGTCAGACTTCCCTTTTGCTCTCACACAGTCTCGCTTCATGCTGAAGATTTTGGAAAATGCTTTTCCTGCTTATACTTTTTCCGGTCAAATATATGAAGCGTAATCAAAATGTTCTGGGAGTGGGTCTACAGAAATCAAATACCCTAAATTATGTAAGTGATGTGAGGCAAGGTAATCTTATGGAGCCCTGCACTATTATATGGCTGGTTTCATTTGAGAAGAGAGAACAAAGTTGCCAGGTCAGGTGAGTGAGCGCAGAATGGGACATCCAGGAGAACTACAAATAATCAATAATAGTGAATAATGACATCATCATATGATTATTTCAAGCACACACTGTCTCTGTCCGAGACCACAGAAGTCCCACCTACCTAATGGTCAAACTTTCTCTTTATGATTAGCAACCAATGAGCAATGAGTAGAATAAGTCCTCTTTAAGGGCTGAAACTCAGCTGACAAGATTTTCATGCTGATAGTTTAAACTGTAGCCAGAGTTTCCAGCGAATGTTTACCTGTTGAGCACAGACAACAACTTTTCAGTGGCTCGACCGTCTGGATCCACCACGTGCTGTAGGAGGCTGATATCACAACGAGTCAGGACCTGGACAGACACATGGGCACACAGAAAAAAGGTCATAGGGCGAGTCATAAATACAGCACCAGATCCAATTCTGCCAATAATTCATTCATAACGGCAGCAGGAAAAAATATAATATAAAATGCATAATAAAGTGTGTGTTACCAGTTTGAGATAGTGCATCAGTCTCTCGTTTGATGCTTTCGCAGAGTCAAAATTCTGCACGTTGTAGGCACAGATCCTGAGTTCAGTTGCTGACTTCAAGACAAAAATGGAGAGCAAAAGGAAGAGGGAAAGACCAGAAGAGCGCCACCTCATGGTTGGATCTGTGAAGGAATAAAAGACGCACGATGTCACTGATGCAAAGCACAGTGTCCAAAACGCACAGCTCTCACTGACGTGGAATAAGCTACAGAAACCAACATGTGGAATGTCTTCACAATGCCTTGAGTTTGGAGATTTGATATAATAGTGAGAATAAAAGATTCCAATGACAATCAACCATCCTGCAGGTCCGACCTGCGCGCAGCCATGAATCACCCCAAAAAGCCAAGACGACAGAGCAAGGCCTGACAGTAACTGTGGCGTCACTACAGATTAATAACCACACTTCCTGTCTGCACATGCAGAAACACAGAAGCAATTTACAACCATCACACAAAGACGGTGCAGCAGCAACGCCACTCACGGCACAACCACACTGCCCACAGTCTCCATTTCTATCGATATTACACAAGTTCTGTCAAACTCGACGCATCATCGTTTCCTGTTCGCAGCCTCTGGCTCACATTAGTGTAAATGTTACACAAATTGATAACCTATATATGAAATGACTACATTTTTAACCTGAATGCAAATATGAGAAAGCACAATCCTAAATGAAACAGGGACCAGTGATAAATACAGATTCAGTCAACACAGAGATTACAGGACACACAGCAGGCTGATCCTTGTTCTACAGTTACTTTCTACACTGAGCCAAATTTCTGTCACATTGTTACAGATATCAGCTCATAATGGAAACAAAAACTGCTCAGAAAACTTCAGGGAGCAGCTGACCATCACAGTACGACACAGTCAGGTAAACTTGAGGAATATCAGTCTGTCCAGTCGGGACGCAGGAGGTGCACTGGAGAGGCAACAACAAGAGAACGTCCCAAAAGCGAATGTGTTAGCAGGCGGCGTTCACAGATGACTCTCCTCTTCCTTCCTCCCTAGTTTTGTGTTTTGTTAGTGACCGTCAGATGTTACCTGCACCAGCGTCTCAAGGATGGCATGTCCATTCATTGCATCGCAAGAAGGCCCGTGCGCCTCCCAGCACAGTCCATGACATGACCGTTAGAGAAGACAGACACACAAAAGGTCAGCAGCAGGACCAATATCTGCTCCTATGTGAGAGGAGGGAAAAGAAGCATGGCCAGGAAAATCACTTCAACCTGTCAGAAACTGAACTGAAGACGTCCCAAAGGTTGATTCTGGTTAACTCGATGTAATGTTTTCACTGGGAGAAATGTTTCGTCACTCATCCAAGTGACTTCTTCAGTGTCAGCTGACTGCATCTCTGAGTCGAGGAGGGGGCCTAAGGATACATCTTTCACCTTACAGTGCTGTGTCTGCAGCCATTCCCCGACTCTCTGTGAATGGTACTCATGGCCATTGATCAGTGGTTGTTGATCAACGGTCATGGTTATTTGCATATTAATGATCAAGGAACTGACCTCACAGCCCATTGTTCCTCAGTGGGCTGATTTCAGTCATTGTTCAAATGTACTGTTTATAAGGTTGGAAGCCTGCAGTCATCTGAGACTGAAGAAGTCACTGGATGATGACGAAACGTTTCTCCCAATGAAAGCGCTACGTCCAGATGAACAGAACCAACTTTTTGGCGCTGCATTTTTTGTGCACTTTCAAATCATCTATATCAGGGGTTCTTAACCTTTTTCACCTCGCGGCCCAATTTTTCCACTACAAAGTGGCTTATAGCCCAGCTTTAATGGCATTCACCACACATCAACAGGACTGGCAGGTCTGACACATGTGGAAGACATGAGAGTCTGGAGGCGTTGAGGAAAGTTTTATGCATCATCCAGCGTCAGCGGAGGCCTGAGGAGGCACGTCCTTATCCTGCATATTCTTGGAAGAGCAGACAGATCCCGACTGCTTTTAGATGCGGGGATGACATCATTACCCTTCTGCTAATGCAGTGCACTCTGGGTTCCTCCACTGCCTCATATTCCCCAGATCTGAAACCAACCAAGAACCTCTGGGTGCCACAAACAGTCCACGAGGTCACTGAGGTCACTGCCCTGATCCAGATGTGGGAGGAGGTCCTGAGGGCAGCCTTCACTGTCTCATCAAGAGGTTGCTCCCAGATTGTTGGGAGTGTACACTCCTGAACAACTAATGCAGTTTTACTTTAAACATTCATATAGTATTACTTCTACCTCACTACATCTTGGATGAAAATACTACTCTTTGTACACTTTTTTAAACCTTTAGTTTTTTCCTCATTTTTAATATTTCAAAAATTCTGACGCAAAAAAAAAAAATGCAGCAGAAGTAGCTGGTGGAGTAAATATTGTCTTTTTTAAATGTTTGAGCATCTTTTTGGTAGTAAAACTTGTTTATGACATGTGACTGTTCTAGGCCACTCAAGGGCAGTGAGCCAAGCTGTGAAGGCATCTTCATTATAACCATACATCACACAGACAGGTGCTTCTGTTATTTAGTCTGATCCTCATCTGCATCGTCCTAATGGCGACGAGCGAGGCCCTGCTGCAAAGCAAACGTGTTCCCAGATTTAATGACTACACAGGTGAAACAGCAAGGTGGGTCAGTGATGCTTAACTGACACACCAGCGTCAGCTCACAGGAGCAACTACATGGAGAAAGGACGAGAGAGTGAGGCTGCTGGGACAGAGAGCAACTCCACATCAGCCTCATGACTGCAGAGGAAAAGGGGAAATGTTCAACAGTCTTCAGGGGAGGAGACAAAAGCAAGTTTGTACAGCTGAGAATGAGAGCAGGAAGTGTGCCGCTTGATTTTAAACACCAGCTTAATCTTGGCCTGTAAACATCCTTTCATAACTCATGAGTGTGACGGAGAAACATGAGACAGTGTGAGTGTGGAGGAGTCGTCTGCCAGCAGAGCTGACTGGTCTGACTGGTCTGATGGACGAGTGACAGCATGCTCAGGCCTGTGTGCAGAAAAACTGTTTGTTTGCTGACACTTTAAATTATTTCATTGTTGCACATTTTCACTCCATTTCAATAGTTTTGATCATGAAAATTCTGTTTTTTGTTTGATCCATGAAGAAAAAACAAAACAAAAACGGCTGCCGTGTTTAATACTGCTGTTCCTCGAGAGTGTGCCGAGCCACTGCAGCTCTTTGTGACACAGCGCATCCTTGTGCAATACGATTTTCATCGCCCTCTGATGCTACTTTTTCATACGCTGACAGCAGAACTATCCAGGTCGTCAGTTAACATTTACAGTCACAAGATTACTCTAAATCAGCCGTAGGTGTAAATGTGAGCGTCTCCATACAAACAGAAGGTCTGGCAGTTTGAGTGTCAGCTGTATGTTAACAGTGTCACAGTCTTCCAGGATTCAGTCCAAGGTCAGACGTTTAACATGTTAAACGTTCAAAGGTCTGCAAAGCAAATGCAAATCTGAACAAACAACAAGACCTTTGGAACAGACAAGACCAAAGCGCAGGAGTTCGGTCATCATGGAAAAACCAAGCCAAGCACATCAGCACAAACACCAGCCGTCAGCACGGTGGTGGAGGGATGATGATGATTTAGGCTTGTTTAGCAGCCACAGGACTTGGACACCTCATTGAGCAGACCGTGAACTCCTGTATACCAAAGTATTCTAGAGTCAAATGTTAGCTCTCTGTCTGACTGACAGTAAAGCTTGGCTGTAACTATAGCAGAGCAGCAAATCTCTAACAGAATGACTGCAAAAGAAAAGAAAAGAGGTGCTGCAATCACCCCGACCAGTCCAGCCTGCAGTCTGATTGAAATACAGCTGTGCATAAATCGCTGCTCAGAAACGTCAGTGAACTGGAGCAAGGCTGTAAAGACGAGCAGCTCAAAATTCCTTCACAGTGACGCGAGAGCCTGAGTCGTAGGTCGTACTTTCATTTTCCTGGACCTGAAACATTTGATTAAACTGTTTTTAATGCAGCCTTTTTAAAGTTGAACCCATATCAATATTAAATACACAAACACACTCTGTCCATACTTTTCACTATAACAAGACCTTATAGGAGGCACAAACAGAGCGAATGAGTACAGATGTATATGCCGAGTGGCTGCCTGCTGCTAATAATAAAATGAGGAACTTGCAGGAATTAAAGTGAAGTGGTTACTCGCTGTGGTCGGGTTAGTTAACAGTCAGTCAGCCCAGCTGTGACTCTTCAGATGTCTTCACTCCGCCCCTCCCAGGCGTAAATGCGGTGCGACCGGTCGAGTGACTCCCTCAGTACACCAGATTTCTACACACCGACCTACCTGACTGACGACAACCCTCACTGTAACCTGCACGATACGGGATTACAGCACAAGGCGAGCAACAGTTTACAAGTTGCTTTGCCAAGTTGAGCACTTTGAGGGTTCAATTCAGACTCTTGGGTTCCTTTTTAGGCTGTGGACGAGGATGTTTTTGTATCAGGACATAAGGCCTTAAAATCCTGTGTTGGCAAAACAAACAGTATCATATTGCAGCCACCACCCCAACCACCTTTCACAACCAGGGGAACTTTGTGGAATTAAGCTTCTGGCTACACAGTCATCGAGCTGCTTTCGAGTACAAACACAGTTTGATTTAAAACTGCGTAAACTAATCAGCCTTAGCTTTCAGACTGAACACAGAATTAAAACACTCGCTTCACCGTTTCTGACACTTGGTTGAAAGACTCATTCGGCCTGAGAAAGTGTTAGACGAGGAGCCCTGGAGCAAGGCGTGCCATTTGAAATGCAGAAGAGCCTCACAATGAGTGACAGCACAAAGTTGATTTTGATGTTATTTAACCAGGAAGTCCTGCAGGGTTAACAGCACTTTGCAGGGAAAGGAGGAGGGGCTTACTTTGTAGTCACTGCCACAAAAGTTCTAGAAACAAGTGTCGCCGCTCGGCAGGTGTTTTGAAAAGCCTTATTTCAGTTGTTATTTTAAAGTATCGCCTACATTTAATTTAACTTGTGAGGTTACCAGGAAAAAGTCTCACGTGGCCATCTTTGTTATTTACGGTTGTCGTCTTTCTGTCCCACAGCTTTGATGTCAGGACTCTGAGCGCCACGTCTCTCCCTGCTCTGACCGAATCAGTAAAATATCCAGAACTGACTTTAAATTCTGTGAACGGCTCCAAACTCCTTGGAATAAACCGTTGGGTAAACGCAGCATAGCTCATGTGTTGTGTGGCCTGCTTTATTGTTCTTTCTGTTTATGAGTTTTAAGAAAGGATCTGTGCGAGTGCTGCGCTCTGGTAGGACACACCTGCATTTAAGGGGTTTTTGAATTCAAGGACACAAGGTCCGACATCTGATGTGTTTGAAGCATCTAATCTTACAAGATCAATGCTAAGAGCTAGCTTCTATGGCGGCTACCTGCCCCTCCCTGATATGCACCACTGGAGTTTTATGGGTTGCCAGTAAATAACGGTGCATTTCAGAGACTTTCAATGTCTGTGTTAGGAAGGTCAAGGCGACAGGAGGTGCTGGCTAACATTTCAACTCTAATGGGTTTAATTTTTTACTCACTTGTTAGATTTAAGCATAAAAATACTCGTGAGTTGGATTAAACACTATGAAATGTTCAGTTAAGGTTATAAAAGATTACAAGCAGCAATAGAAAACCAACAGATGCCACCGTTGACGTTCAATTTCTAGTCAGCCCATTTATCCACCCCGACCTCCTCTCCACCTCGACAGATAGTTGTGCAGTTCGACTTCCTCCTGCCATCATCACTGCCGCCACAGAGAGTCCTGTCACCAGAACATGAACTCTACTCATTACCATTCACTGGCATCAGAGAGAAACACATAAGATTCCTTGTCTTCATAGTTTGTTCCACATATTTACACACATCCAGATTCATCATGACTCTAAAATGGAAATTCATAAATCGTTCCTGTTTTTAAGGCTCCGTCAACAGTCCCAGTTAGAGAGTTCAAGACACACCAACCTCACTGTACCATTGCTGGTTTCTCACTTTGTTCAGGCGTGAAGCAGCATACATGTGAACTCAGCAGCAGTTTCCAGGTTAGCCGGTGACTCGGCTCTGAATGTTTCAGCTGGTGAGGTCAAATTCACCAATTATTAACAAGTTAATGCTTAACACTGGTCAAAAAGCACAAATCGCATGACTTTAAAGCTTCTTTCATCCAGAAAGAGACACAATGAAACCAAAATAAGTTCCCAAACAGGTCTGTTAATGATAAATAGACTGAATGCCAGTTTGGCACAAACTGGCCTCAAAGGCGGACAAAAGAATAAAAATGGTTGAAAATATGAATCAAGCAGGGAACAAAGACACGGCCGACTTCAAAATGAGGAGGCAGGCAGAAAAATGCAGAAATCATTTTGCGTTTTACACACCTGGTTTTTTCAAACGTCCATGGATACGAACCAGTGCTGAAGCTCATCTGCAAAACTTTCACTTTCAGCATGTTTTAAATAAACACCACATATGTATCCTGAATAAAGTCTTTCAGCTCAGCTGGACCATTAATAAGTGTGAGTCCAATCACGTTTCCAACTCAGCACCCTTGAATTTGGAATATTTTCATGGAAATAATCCAAGGATCTTGAAAAGAAAAGTGTCTGGACTTCTTTAAGTTTCCTTTAAGAAGCTGCTTCAGTTCTAAGACCAACTGGTGAAGAGTCAGACAGACAGATTTCCTCAGAGACAATCCCTTAATTTTCCTGTTAGAACACCAAAGAGGCTGAATTCTGGCCAAACAGAGACTCGGTGAACAGGAGCTGGTATTTATGCTCCTGTTTACACAGCGTGCGTGAAAATATCTCAGTTTTAAATATTTAATCTGGAGTAAAGATTCTGTTTAAAGTGTTGCTGCATAATTTGAATACCTCCTGAGGAACTGCACAGCGTCTTTCTACATCCTACTGTGACTGGCTCTGTTTTACATTCCTGCTGCTTCACCTGCTTTATGTGGTTTTTCTTTCTTATTTTCTCTCCACCTTTTGTCACGGCCACGCACTGAAATACCAAAACAGATTCCTTTGACGTGACTCTGAAAACATCCGAATTTAAGTTGGGAAATTTAAAAGATGTTAAAAACTACTACCATCCTCACAAAGGCACGAAAACACTTAAACATTGACAGAGTCCGTTCACACAGCCTACACACCCACGGCCACTTCAGTTTTAAGCACTCACACACTGAGCAGACCCAGTAACCGGTACTGGTCTCGTCCCAGTAACGGCTGCTGGATCAGTTGTTGTTTTTCGTACCTGTTCAGGTGAGTCAAATTACGACCGTCTGCTGCTAAGTCTCTGAGCGGATCCTGCTGGGTGTGGACGCTGTCTCAGCCTGGCGCAGGTATCGCCGTCCAGGTTGTTCACGTCTACAAATGCAGCATTCAGGGTCTGTGGTAAAGACGGGACGTTTTTCACATCATGACATCTGTGACACCCATTTTATGTCACATGATCAACCAACTTACCTATCAGCTGCAGCCCCAGAGCAGGTGTGAGCCACAGATGAGCATGACGTAGTCTGGTGAAATCTGATTTCCTTACTGCAGCCACATAACGCTCCCACAGCGCAGTGCAAAAAAGTATCATCGTCATAAGAATTATTTCATATTTAACACATAAAGTGACTTGAACTGTCCAAAAATTTGGTTAGGCAGTGAAAGCATGCTGGACTGGAGTCAGTGAGAATCTAAGATTAGTTAGAAATGTCATCTCTGGATATTTAAGTGTGTTTTTACAGTAAAATCAAAAGCACCTTTGAGTATTTCCTCATCACATGCTCCACAGTAGTTTAAAAGGTGTGACTGATCATGTGTGATGATGAAATCCCATGGCTTCTCGGTTGTGTTCACACTGGAGTTTAATAGCTGTGAGAAAATGTTGAGCAACACAATTATTTCCTGTTACTCCACCAGAGCCACACTCATCTGATGGCAGCTAGCATGAGCTCAGCTGGCTGGGAGCTCGTGGCTTCAGGCTGAATTCTGGGTAGAGGCGGAGGATCTGTGGGAGCAGAGCTGTGAGTCCGGAGAGGGCTGCAGAAACTCTACTGCTGCCCTGCAATCAGGCTGCTCAGCCACAGGCCTATACTCCTGGCAGGAAGAAGGACGCTGAAAAAAGACTTGTGAGGTGAGCTGTTCAGCTCAGAGGTGGTGTGTGTGGGTATCCTGTTCCTATTGCACTCTTCCAGTTTGGGAGTTCACAGTTCCTAATGCTCCTATTACCACTGAGACATTTTGTGCTTTATTCCTACACGTTTGTCCACTTCTTCCTTCAGTGCCCTGTCCTTTACCCCATCCTCCTTATTTCTGATGTTACTGTCTGCTGGGATTGCCACATCTATCACAGCTGTGGCTTTCCGTTCCCTGTCAGTCACCACTGTGTGGTGGTTGGCCAGCAGCCGCCTCTCTACCCAACAGGACCTCAGCCTGCTATTCTTTCTCAGCTGCCTTCTGATGTGTCTCCTATCAGGCCTTCTGCATCAAACTGCTGTAGGGCTTTTGAATCCAGTTTCATAAACACAAAGTTGAAACAAGTCATTCAACTTTCAGAATTATCAAGATAGCGAGATCATTTACAGTTATTCTGGTCTCTGGTGTGTCTTAGCATCAGGAAGAATGAAAACAGTATTAGTGAGCAGGTTAGGAGGTCAATATCAGTCCTGTATACTTCATTCATACTTCATTCTAGGAGAATGAAAAATTAAGAAAATAATTGCTTGAAGTTCATTCGGTTATATGGCCACAGACTCATCTCTACAGATTGTTGTGTACTGTTCTTCTTCTTTTGGTTGGTCCCTTTAGGTCTGCCTACAGCAGATCAACTCATCCATGAACCCCCTCTGAGGTTTCCCCTTTTCCTCCTGCCGGGCAGCTCCTCTTCAACATCCTTTGTCCAGTATATCCACTATCGCTCTCTGTGCATGTCCAAACCAACTTTGTCCCTCTGACATACTAATATTCTAACCTTGTCCATTGAATGCCTGAACATCTCCACCTCAGCCTCCTGTCTTTTTATCAGTGCCACCATCTCTAAACCACACATCACAACAGGCCTCACTACTGTCTTTTAAAACTTCCCTTTCACTCTTGCTCTTGCCTTGACACTCACTCCACCCTGCCTGCCCACACTCTCTGTTTCAGCTCTCTTGTGGACTTGCAGCTTAAATTATCAGCTCAAATAGCTGCTGCGGCCCTGGATAGATGCACTGTGACCCCTGTGAACAGAACGCTTCCAGTGTTGTGCCAAAAAGTGATTAAAGGTTGGTGGTAATTAATATAGAACCTGCCAGACACATCTCAAACATATCTCTCATAAATGATACGACTTTAAGTATATTAGACATAAAAGCACACAGAAATCTGTTTTTGGCAGTCCATCGCTTTGATCTCACTAATTGCGACGACTCAGTGACCATGTAGCCCCCTCTGCTGGTCGGACCCGAAGAGTGCATGTCCTTATATGGCAGCTGCCCGATATCCAACCCCGGGCCGCCTCCTCCTGTAGGCTGCGGCGGGTGGACAGCCCCAGGAATAAGGATACAGCTAGTTAGCTGTGTGCGTGTGCGGAGCCCACAAACCCCGACAGGATCGTGCGGCTCCCAGATCCCGACCCGCTGGGCTTCAAACTTTACTCTGGAGGAGCTGGTATGGAGTAAAAGGAGCGGAGGGAGTGCGGGTGAGTCCCGCGGAGCTCGGAGTTAATGAATCGGAGGTGGAGGAGCAGCTCGTGGAGTGTAAACAAAGTTTTCTGGGGTAGCTTGTTAGCTAGTTAGCCGTTAGCGCCACAGCCCAGTTGATGCAGTCATAAACAGGAATGTCAGCTTCAAATTAGAGGGCGGAGACTTAAACGTCTAATCCACGGTGCTCGGATAGATTAACAGGAGCTGTGGGAGTTTTTCCGCTTGAGCTGCGGGGTGAGTTCGTCCAACCTCCGGAGAGCTGCTCAGTAACTTTGAACCCCCCGACAAGCAAAGCTGTTAGCTGGTTTGCTAACGTCACACTGCTGTGCGTGTTAGCCTCCACCTCTACAAAATACACATTTTATTACTGGTGTCCACAGCTGATACATACTTGTGTATTTAACGTTGTTTCTGGTGTTGACTACATAATAATTATCTGAGGCTTTCACGGACGTCACGTAAATTCTCTTTCCTCGTGCTTAATAGTTGTAAAGCGTATTCAAACTTGTTTATATTGTTAATAGTAATTGTTATAATTGTTTGTTTAGCTTTTTTTTTTTGCGTAAAGATGCAGCCTAAAAGAATAGTAAAAGTAAAACAAACAAAAAGAATGAAAGAAGTAGAGAAAAGATTTGATCAAACAAAATTAATTAAAAATAAAACTGATGGTGCCCCCCCCCCCCACCCAATAAATAAACAAATAAATAAAAGTCCAATTTAAATACAATTAAAATGAAAAGTGAGCAGCAGAAGAACAGATGTTAATCAGGATTCACTGTTGCTGTCACTCCCAGCTCTACAGGTTAAAGGTGTTTGTTCTTGTTTTGGTGGTTTTGGAATAATTTTAGAAGAACACCAAAACGGATAAATCCTAAAATCTTGTTAAACTCTTTTCACAAACAGCCCAGATATACATGTTACAGAATGCAGTCTTTAGCAGTGCATGACTCAGTTTACACAGCCTATCCTTTTTATGTGACATTTTATAATCCATCGACCTTTATTCAGCTGTAACTTTGTGTTTAGCACTTTTCTTTTACAATTCTTGTCTAAACTTTTTATTCTCTCTGTGTGAAGATAAACACACCAAAGTAACAAACCAGTCTAATTTTCCATACGCTCTGATGCAGCCCGCTGGATGGCTTAGATAAAATGCATTACAGCTGATGTAATACAAGCACAGGAGAATGCAAATGAAAAAGTATTTTTAGATTAGATAAACTATTTGAATCATACTGTTCAGCTGGAACAGGGAAGGGTTTGTGGCTTTATGGATCCACTATGATCACTAATGTTTCATCACTAGAGGTCAAATTGTTTATGAGCAGAGTCCATCTGCTGGTTGTTTTGTAGGTGATGTGGCTCTTTTGACTTCATCAGACGGCGACTTCCAGCTTCTACTGAAAGTAGCATTAGAATTAGTACTTCAGAGTCTAAGGCCATGGCTCTCAGTCAGAGTGCAGTGAGTCATCAGATGTGTTGAAAATGCAGAATTGGTGAGCGAGGCATCCTGAGGAAGTTCAGCAGGCCAAAGCCTGGCTGCAGGCTGACTTAGCAAATCGGTGCATTATTAATGTGTGACATGGTTTCCATTGAGAGGAGCTGCCAGCTCTGTAACTGGAGCCAGCTCAGCGGGTTTGTTTCACATGTGGATCAGTGTGTCTGCAGTCTCTTCCTGACCTGGATTCTAAAAGTGAGTGAATTTTATTTTTCCCTGTGGTGCTGATTCACAGTCCCAGACACAGAATAGAGTGATTTGCAAAGCAATTCAAGTCTGCGTTATAGAAAAATAACACAAATAGTGCTGTTTTTGTCAAATAAATGCACTTTTGGAATTTGTTGCCACAATGTGCCAAATGAAATTGCAGCAAGAACATGTTTCGTCTTCTTTTAACAGCACTCTGTAAGAGTTTGGGACCCGAGGAGCCCAACTGATGGACTCAAATGTTTTTCCATTCGTGCTTCAGGGTTTCAGCTGCTCAGCTGTTCTGGGCCTCCTTTGCTGTATTTGTTTTTGCGTGTTGTTGTTTTGCAGTTCTTATGAGTGGGTCACAGATGTGGACTCTTAAACTACAAGTCTAAAAAAGGAGAAAGAGGACAAGAATATACCATAACCAAATGTCTTGATGCGCCTTCATCCAGGCAAGGACATCCCAAAAAGTTGAGACTGAAGAAGTCACTCCCACTGAAAACGCTACGTCCAGATAAACAGAATCCACTTTTTGGGATACCAAAACATTCCTCAGAGATTTTGGTCTTTATTACATGACAGCAAATGGGTTCTACTTGACTGAGATCTGGTGACCGGAGGCTGTTTGAGTCCAGCGAACTCAGTGTCATGTTCAAGAAACCGGTGTGAGATGATCTGCGCTTTGTGCACTGCTGCTGTTGTGCATTTAAAGATGTTCTTCTAGGACCCTGCTCGTAACAAGTTGTTTGAGTTAATGTTGCCTTCCTGTCAGCTGAAAGCAGCGTGCTCCTTCTCTGATGCCATCATCAAGGCTTATTCTTCCACAGAGCGGCTGCTCACTGGATGTTTCATTGTAAACCTTGGAGATGTTTGTGCGTGCTTGGTTTGAAGTTTATCACTGCTTACTAGAGATGGACCGATCTGATATTACGTATCGGTATCGGTCCGATACTGACGTAAATTACTGGATCGGATATCGGAGAGAAATAAAAAATGTAATCCGATCCATTATATATCAAAAAAGCAC